GAGGGTTTTAATACGCATTGTAATATATCTTGGCAAGTAAAGATTTTCGAAATTGTTTTATTTCAAATAAAGTAATTTCTACATATTCTCCTTAATTTATACACTATTTAGGAAATAAACGTTCTCAATTTTTGGCTTCTTTTTTTCTTCTTTTTAAATACACAAGTCTAAAAAAAAATCTTGAAAATAATGACTGATCGAAAATTAACTTAGAACATATATGTAGTAATATGTTGTTGTTACTTGGTATAGGTAACGATATAATTTATTACCAATAATGTATAATTCAAATGAAGGTAAAACCTGACAAGTGATAACGGTCTTTGAATGTAAAAAGCTCGGGGGTCAATGTTGTGATTTCTGGAATTTAAATGCTCTACAAGACATCAGTTCCACAATTAAACGACTAATTTTAGTATTGCTGATCTTTCACATTTTTAATCCACAAGGTCGCCTGAAATCAATTTGCAATCAGACTACATGAAAGACATAAGCTTGTGTAACTACTCTGTGTGTCTTGCAACCTATCCCCCTACCTATACTATAGTAATTTTTAGTACATATTTTATATAAAACTGTATTACTGTAAAAACGGTAGATAAACGCATTTAAATGACACTAGTTAAATCTTTTATACAAAATCAAATAAATCATACCAAATGTATATTAATAAATCTAATAATTAATTGAAATTGAAATTGCAAGCCAATCAGACAAGTGAAAACAAATATTATTTAGTTGAACAAAAGACAAAAAACAGCGACACGCTTGTTAATCCGTAGCCCGTAGGTTTATGTTTACCAAGCTAATACATTATTATTATTGTTAATTGATTTATGGTGAAATTCAAAGGCAGGCGATTTCTCCAAAATAATGGTCCAGATGCACCTGACACAATGTTAAATGGTGTCCAGTAAACGCATATTATCACGATATTGATCAAATATTTCATTCAGTGTGAATCGCCCATAATATATCATTTCTTTGAATGAACGTTAAATTATCATAATAATAATCATTAACATTAAATTATGTTGTAGTTGAAACATGCATAATATTATTACATAATGTTTTTGTAGTAAAATGTCTCAAAAAATAAATAAAAAACATTAATTAATTGTATGTTTATTAACAGCCTTAATAGAGTGCAAACTCCGCCAGTGGCGTAACTATAACTGTCAAAAGTATTAAGGTGCAAACATTTTCTTGTACTACTTACATTTATTTATAATATTGAGAACATTTTTTTAAGGCATACGTGAACATGAACCAAAATGTATGAGCCCGATTCAACTGCCTGTGCTATTCCCACGATAGCTACGCCACTGAGTCCCATACTTTTCTATAATAAAAAAATAATATGTATTATTCATGACTGAATTCTTAAGTTGTTATTTTAACGTGAATTTGTCCATCTATGTTACTAAAAGGTTAAGTTTTTTAATCTTCTTTGAAAGTTTACCGTTCTTACTCGGTAGTACTAAATTGGTTAATTAAAAGTAATTTACTCCACTAAAGCTTTAGGTCGTAAGCCTACTAAATTTTGTTATATAACAGTTTAGCTATTATAATGATGAATAATACACACAAAACAAAAATCACATGGTTAAAACCGGATATTAGTTAACCGAATCTCGGTGTTGTAATTTTATTGTATTTTTAGGTAACCACCGTGGTCGGATGCGTCCCCAGCCAAGAATTGGACAAATTATTTATTGGATAATATCCAATAAAAAAGTAACGGTTAAATGAATCTCACTTAAATGTGTAATTTATACCATGTTACCCTTTACCCAAATTCATCTGTTACGTTAATCCAAAACCGTTGACGTAAAAATACAATTACTTTTTAACTTACCTATCCTTTCTATTCAGCTATATAAAAATGTCTAAAGTGATTGTATACATTGATTATACAAAATCGCATGATGCACGTTATGAGATGTAGAATTAGATTAAATCAGATCGTCAATGAGTTGCAATGCGAGTGTACAATTTTTTTAGATAGCTATTAAACCCCTCTAAGTCTTCTCTTATTTTCAGTTGTGCCCCGGTCCTAATCAAATAGTTTCATCTAATTTCGAAACAAAAATCTGTAAATTAATTTCACATTATAACAAGACAAACCTTTAATTTCTTAAATTTTGTCGCATTGTTAACTATCGTACAAACTTTTAGCGGACTTAACATAGAACATGCTATTGGCTCTCTAATAGGATGTATCGTTCTGCGTGGTAATTGCATTTGCCTTTTCAGTTCCCCAGAGAAAACGACGGTCTGTAATCAATAAACGGTAGTAATTTTGTTGTGAAAATCACGAGGTATACCGCCTGTATATTTTTGTACATGAAATAATAATATTATGTAAGTCAATTGAGAATACTACAATAATAATAATAAAAGTAATATTCAAGCCCACCAAATCACAAACCACAATAATAGTGCGTCCGTATTATAGGTACTCTCGAGCTCTGTCTCTCACTTTTTCTTTCTCTGTTTTTCTCAGTTCTTTGCAGCACAACATTTTTACAAGAACGCCTATAATAATATTTTATAAGCAATATTTATTGTCGAAACCAAAAATTGTAGACTTCTAATTTAGCAAGCAAATAATATAGTAGTGGGCCCAAGGGGGCTGTAAGATTCATTAGAGAATAATTGATTAAAAATGTGTTCATTTGCTGTGCTCGACTTATCCGGTTAATTTAAGACTGCAAAAATCACTGGCCTGATTTTTATGATGCACACTGTTGCTTTGCAGTTGTTATCCTTTTCCTTCTCTATAATACGGGAGACTAGTGTCGTTAATGTTCGATCCGCGAAAGCATCAGCCTCAAAATGTCCCCATCGCGTTTGTTTATTTTCAGATACACATTTTTACACCGTTGATATTATTGCCGCCGGATTACAACACAGCACAAATAATAATAACAAGGATAGTTTTTGACGTTTTTCCTTCCGGCAGTGTACCGCGTGGTTTGTTATTAATGTTTCCTTAGCGATTCTAATCCCTCGAGATTTTAACCGCATCACACCAGATTTAATCCGTGAGAGCTCGACGCGCAGGCGCCTAAATCAAATTTAAATAATTTCTTATTTTTGACGTCGCTCGGGTTAAGTGTATTCTGTCGTGCCCATAAGATTGTTTTTTAACTGGTTTTTATCGCTTCAATTATAATTTAATAGCACAAACACACATACACACATGTGCAATCGCATACTATAATATTAAACATTACCTATGTAGTTTTCGTTTTTGTCCTCATAAAGGCACGCAACTCCGTGAGAACGGACAACGTGTCGGAGAACATATTAAGATGATCATAGTGTAACCCTATAGGCTATATACATAATTATATATGATTTTAAATACAGACTACTAGCCTTTAAGAGTCCTACTCCCCAAAAATTCTACTTAGAGCTTGACCTTTTTATTAATTAGCTAAGCTAGCCAATTAGTAGCTAATAGATAGATAATACTTTATGTATGTATCTTACAATATCGTACCTCAGAATATTATATTCGTAATGATAAAATATTACTAAAATGAGTATATCTCGCTTTTGTCCTTTAAAATTGAAGTGTATATTTTTGAGAGATTCCAGTTTAATAGTGATCAAACATTTGGTTTTTACTTTACAAAATTTATATTTTTAACATTTGTTTGGTAAACATAAAGTTAATTGTATGCGTTTTTTATGAGGAAGTCCTCAAGTAATTAAGTCTTATAAAAACCTCTGATTTTAGATAGTTGTTCTAAAAAGACTATATTAAAATAAAACTCACTGACAATTTTGTCATTTTATTTTTAGTTTAACCTTTCGACGTTTCAGCTTCGAGCCGAAACTAAAATGTATAATAATTTTTGTAATCCTTTATCCAAAAAATGTATACATAATAATACATTACATAATGTACACAATACCTCACTGCATAGGTATTGGTTTTTAATTTTTCGTACAAAAAAATTGTCACGTATGCAAACTCTAAGTAAGCATGTCGAACAATTCTTGCATATTTTTATATAACTCCGCTTCGAAATAGCGAATCCTTTGCATACCAATTAATATGTTAATTTACATATTTTGAAGGTAAAAACGGTTCAACGACAAGGGTAGTCGGGCATGAAAAGATTACCAAAGCGATCACAATGCATATGAAATTGCTAATACATTCATATTATGTATTTTTAAATATTTATTAAGATTCCTTTTTTATTTCTACGTCCCTTTACCCTTACTGAATAGTAGCCTATTCAAATAAGAAATACTTGGAATTTTAGAATTCTAGCTCAACACTTAATTACTTCCTCATGATTTTTTTTTAAATTTGATTAACATAGTAAATTTATATTTTTTATTTAAAAAACTCGTCTTGAAAACATCGAAATTTTTACAATTAAAAAAAACTATTTTAAAGATAAATATCAAATATGACTAAAAATTCCACTTTTGATAATTTACTGTAAACAATTTTTTTTCAAGTTACAGCCCGTTGAAATTAAGATTGAAAAGAATAAAACAAAATAAATTAAATAACAGATTTTAATATAGAAAAAATTTGGTTATATGTAATAAAATAATAATAAAAGTCTGTCGTGAGCGCTGAAGATGACACCATTGTTGCCGAAATACGACGTATTCGCAGAGAGTGTATAATTTTTATGGTTAAGGGTTTTTATTATTATTTTTTTATAACCGATTTTAATAAGCTGTAATTTTATAAAAACATATTATTATAAATTTTCAAGCTGAGAATTTTGAAGGGTCCCATTTCAGCTTTAAAAATTAGAAAAATGTCGAATAGTTCACAAGTTGGAATTCTTAAATAAACAATTAAAATGCCTATCAAATTTAATCAAATTTTAAAAAAATCACGAGGAAGTTCTTAAAGTTGAGCCAAGGCTATAGAATTTTAGGGATTTCCTATTTTTACTATTGGTTGAAAGGGTTAAAGAATGTTCTATGTGCTGAAATGATTGTTTACGGTATTGTTACAGGGAAGCAAATGTACCAGCGGTGGCGTACCCGGACAACCTTATTATATGGCTCACCAGTTTCCACCGGGAACGTCGGCTACTCTTCCTAATAGGGGCCGACCACCTAGCGGATCTATGTCGGCCAGAACGTATTCGCCGGCCGTTCCATCAGTGGCCGCCAACAAACAGTCAGGTAAGTAATTTTAACAACTTTAATTATGGCGTTAGACGCTAAAAGGATTTAAAAAGAACATCAAGTCACTTAAATAAGAACGATTATCCAATTCCAATTAGGCTTATGTTCCAGTGAATGACTTTTAAAATAGAAAATCTTTAACAAAACAAAAATTTAGTAAAACTAAATATATTCTTATAAAAAAATGTACAGTTACCTTTTATTCGCATAACAAAAATTACTTTTTACATTTATAATATAATTGAATCGGTCATTTCAAAAACGACACAAGTCATTAACACTAACCTCAAAAAATACTCCAGAAATTCCAGGATTTCCAGAACTTATTTGGCACTCGCATCTATTTCTGATATTCATAATCCATAGTTTTAAATAGTCTAACTTTGACCATAATTCATTAAATTGAGATAAAGCATATTTGATTTGCGCTGTTTTTACAGGGAATATAAATTTGTCATAAAAAAATTAGGTCAAGAAATAAAATTTAAAAAATTAACACTGAAATGTTTATTATTGCACAAACTGGTTTTTTAAAATAAAATAAATGTAGTTTTTACACAGAATACGTAACTACGTATATAATTATCAAATATGGCAAAACATAATTTTTGAAAAATCGGTGACTTATGTCGTTTTTGAAATGACCGATTTATATACACTAAACGTGTCAATTTCACAATAAATCAAATAATGCAATTGGTATTATAAACATACACTAGGGAAATTTAACTCACATAATGTATACATTTCTATAAAGGGGACATAGTGTAGCGCAGTGCCTCAGGTGACACTTGACCCAGACCCTGCCAACATGTGAATGGTATCTGATAATTTATTATTATGTTTAAGCTGAAAATCGACAAGAATAAAATTAAAAATCATCGTATATCAACAAGAAAGATAGCAACAGTGTTTGCTTGTTCGGAGAAGGTCACTGGTTAGAAAACGATTTTGAATGGTTTGAAACGTTTTTCATTTAAAACGACTTAAACGAATTCCACTAAAATAAAGTTTTAGTCAACAAATGTTAAAATGACGTCATTTTTTTTATAATTTATCATTTATTGTTTGCGTTGAAATAAAATGCGTAAATGTTCAATACAATTTGAAGATAATATCTTCCCTTAGCGAAAAGATAAAATACAAAATAATTAAATGATACATAAATTCACCATAGAAAAAACAATATATTATCCCAAATAAATTCCCATTTTATTATTCGATCACAAATAGTATTTGTATTAGTAACTAGATTTCTCCTTTTACTAAAATGATAAGATACGCCATATGACCATATTATTGTTGGATTATGAAACGATGCACATAACGTTTATGACTAATATATTGAATCTCTATTTAACACTGCAAGCAATTTCTCCGAATTAGTGAAATTCTTCCACACCTTGTTGTTTATTATATTTTTATATCAAAAAGGTTTACCACTAGGTTGCTTAATACTGGTGTCTAGCAAATTAGTATCATAATATTATACATATAATTAATAAATATTAATCGTTTTAGATTATTGATTGATTGTCAACATAAACGGGAAGTATTATATTTAATTCAACACGTCATTAATATTATAATATTGTAATGTGGAATGTTCTTTTTTATCATTGAAGAATGACCACTATTGCACATGAAAGCGATCGAGTAATATCATTTTAAGACTATTTATAGTTATGTAATGAAATACATATATATACGTATATATATATTATATCGTATGTTATACCAATCCGCTAGTTGATAATATACAACAGTAATTGTATTTTGGTTTTTCATTACATAGAATATAATAATTATTATATTGTACTTGTGGGTCCGTGTCTATCTGCCTCGGAAAACAGATTTTGTACCACGTAACACGGACAATGGACTTTGCGGCGATTTATGTGAAATGCAATTATCATTAATACTGAAAATTTACAATTGGCTTTATCGCGGTTGCGTTAAAAATGTAGTACTTCGCTTGTGTTGTTCGCCTCAACGATTATAGTAATAATAATAATAAAAGCGGCGCGAAGATACGCAATTGACCGATGAGGTCAAGAGATACTGAAAACCAGAGTTCATCACCGACCATATCCACCTTGGCCGTTTGAACCGTGATTTATGATTGCGCTTTGCCAAAAGTCTCCCAGAGATTTATTGTCAGTCCATTTAGATAAGTATGCGATGGTATAACGAATTTAAAGCTGAAAGAACAGTACTTCAAACTTTACGGTCGATACGGCCAATAATTATTTAATTTCTTTGCAAAGTCAACCGAAGGTCCGCTCGATTACACTGGGTCCGACTGTAAATGCATTAGTTATTAGCTTATATCTTCCTCCAAGCGTCCACGGGTATTTTCGACCGTCTCTTGGCATAAACGACCCTGTTTTTCTACGCAAAGTTGAGCGAGTTTTTGTTTTTATCGTAAAGACATTATATGAAAATAAAATGATTAATTCAATACAGAATGCGAACTCACTGAACTATTAACTACACAATTACAATTGATACGACCAGCCACCAGGTAAATTTTAAATCAGCCGAAGCAATAGATGCAAGCAAATGGGTCAACTGTACATGGCCTTAAAAAGAAAAATATATAATATATATAATACCTACCTAAAAATAATATTTTTTATTAATAATACATGATCAAGTGCTGTAAATGGAATACGGATAGAGCATACTGCATAATTTAATATCATATAAATGTCGAATGACACGTGAAGAACCTTCCTTACCTGTAGGCTGTTGTATCCCTTTATCGGATAATATTTACTAACTGAATGTAGAAAATATGAAGAAAAACACACAACATTCAACATCTCAGAAGCTCCTCTCGGTCTAAATCCATCGTACATGATCAAAACACTTACATTTTGAGAAGCCAGTGGTTTACACAAATAAATGTGAAAATTAAAATTAAACTGAATCATTTTATAAATTTTAAATTAAATATTTAAACTATTTTTTTGTTGAATTTAGAATTTAAGGACATTAATAATTTATATGTATATCTACTACGAATCGATACACTTTCTTGTGCGTTCTTATTAATACCTAATTTTTTTAAAATTAATGGAATATATATTGACATTGATTTAGTAATTACTATTAATCAATCATATTAAACTCTCTGTTAAATCAAATAGGCCTATAATAATATTTATTATAAGTGGGCTTCGCCCACTAATTCGATTAAGATTTCTTTTCAAATGTTATTATAACAAATTAATTTTTAAGTATAATTCCCAGATTAACCGATTAATACTATAAGACAAAATATTTTGTCTCAAAATTGAACAAATGTATATTATATTAACTATAAATTACTTTTCTACTCGGCAATCTTTTGGAAGAATAACTTATAATAAAAATGATTATAATATTTTATTCCTCAACTCCAATGCGAAACTGAGCAGGTATTGGTTTTACATTGATGTGTTTTACGTTTTTCATTATTTATATGTTCAAATCAAAAACTAAATGAATTAACATTAATGGGCAGATGTCACTAATAGAATTCGGAAACAATATGACAAGGATACCAAACAACAGTGCATTTCGGTAATTACACCTTAAATTACACGTGACGGTAATGTTTTTGCGATTAAAGTGTTCAAGTTGTAACTTGTAATTGACTATGGAATGACTATGGTATGGTATGACTATGGTCGGAACGACGTTAAACAGTGTAGGTCAAATTAGAAATGTTTACATTAATGAGAGAAATACATTTTCTCTAAAAACCAGTGTATGACGGTGCAATAAATATTGATCGACTTTTCGCAACATTTTAAAACACTTGTAACAACTTTCAATGTAAGCCGCAAAATTATCTAAATGACGATTGTGCTTGATTGGCGTGTTCATCAAATGTGACTTAACAAAACGTGGTTGGCTAAATGTTACCGTTACAATAGAAATGTAACAGGCTAAACGTTTCAAACATTCATGTATTTTAAAATAATAGTTAATGTATGATAAATGATATCATTTCAAAAATGATTCCTGTCTGAATAATATTGATGTACATATATTTTTTTTTCAATAAAACAATAATACTTATAATTATATTATTTTTATTTATAGGGTACATGTCTTCTCCAGAAAGAGCCGGATCCAGGACGGGGTATACGGCGCCTCCATACATGTCTCCGGGGGGTTCGTCGTTCGATGAAAATTCTTATTACGGTTACGGCTCAAGGACAGGAGCAATAACCCCCGTTATAGACGAAGAGACCAGGTAACTAATAGTTGCAATTAAACATTATATTCTTATTTCAGTCGGAGACTAATATATGTTCGAACATCGGACCATTATCATTAACCGCCGATTAATACGTATATTCTACTATCTTGATTTGTACAAAATGAAAATATGGCGATGCGCGATGAACCATGTGTAAAACAAAAAAGAAACATTTACACGCCCATAAACATGCTGCCTACGCGATGATTACATAGTACCTGTTTACCTACAAGGTTAATGACCGCGTTAAAATTAACATGTCTAAAATACAGTTTTCGTAGTTCCGTATTATTCAACAGGTCACAAGTTTTGGAATATTCTCATAGTTCATACGCTCGACACAATAATCGTTAAAGTACCTATATCTGTTGTAGACTTAAAATAAATCCTAGCTCTCCATAAATTATTTATAATAAATCGCGGAATTAATTTAATACAAATCGTTGTTGGGTTACTTATTAACAAAGAAAGCTGCTAAAAATATTTGTATTTGCTACATTGTAATAAATTCCGTGGTATGAAAATGTATTCAACTTATCACGGAAAACTTAAAACTTTAAGAAAGAAAATATTTCGACATTTACTCGGTGTCTTGGTGTATCCAATATACTAAAGTTTTTCTGATTTTAGTTAAAAGGCTTGTTATACATCACTTATGTTTGTATTCTTAGTGTAAACCCCTGTCCTTGTATGAAAACAACTTTTACATTCCAATATGTAATAGCTCATTAAGTGTTAAATATTAGGTTCAAAAATATAAACTTTTTTTTTTTTAATTTTGATTTAAGATATATTTTATAATGACAATAAAATAAAATTAGATGCACAACATAGCGTGAAAAGATCAGTGACTTGCTTATAAAAAAATTAACACTTAGCACTCTATTACAAATTATTATTATACTAAAAAAGATAACGTGCAGTAGAATTTCGTCGGAAATTGATTATATTGCTCGATTATTATTTTTAAAAATATGATATTCTAGGTACGTCTGCATTAATCTCTAATATATAATAGGAAAATCCATAAAATACTTTGAGCGCTGAAATCAGTTAATATTACAATTTACACTTATCAATACCAATAATTATAAATTCGTAATAATACCGTTCGACTTGGATTGTTAGCTTTTAAAATTTACATAAAAATTAAAATAGACAAATCCGTTATTTCGTTACAATACAAAAGCTACAACAAATTGAATTTAATTGAAGTTTGTTATTATTTATTGTAACATTGATATCTATGCATTGTACGCTTTACACGCTGTACAAGTAAACTAATTTGAAAGCGCACATATTAATATCAATAATGTATTCGGCATCGGTTCGATTTCAGTAGAAGTCCGGTAAACAATTATTCGACGATAATTACATTTAAGAAATCCGATAATTAACTTGGTTTGTTGCAGAATCACGTGCGTCCCGCCGCGCCGTGTGTCATACGATCTCACTAAAAAGCGATTTCTAAAACTATACAGTTGAATTAATTAAATGACAACCGGCAAATATGTTCTTATAAGGTTCTTGTATTCGCCTGTATACAGACGTTATATTTGACTGCGACATAATGTTATTTAGATAGCGCACGAGTTTGGCCGTAGATAAGTACGGTATGTGTTTATTACGAAGTATAGTTTTTGTGACCCGTGTTACACAAGTGAACGTATCGGCATAATATAATATACAAACCTAAAACCATAATTACAATCATAATAAAGCTTTTTTTTTTTTAGCGCATGTCGTGTATTAAAGCACTTAGTATGTAATACAATAATAATAGTAATAAAATAAATCGAATCATTGACTTGCGACGAGGAGCATCAATTTCACTTCCTTGCCATGAGACAGTAATTAGTTACCGGAGGCGCATTCGCATTTAGGCTCTATTGACCATTCTCCGTTGGTGGTCAAAAACCGAATCGCCGTCCCGGACCGATATGCGCGTGTAACGAAATGACGCAGAGATTTTTTTTATACAATATGATCGATAATAAAAGTAAAACTCTTTTCTGAAACAAAGCAGCATAGGGCTACAGTGACGGTAAACTACGCAGACGTATGATAGCAAATTAGAAATTTTAGGTCAATTCCTACCTGCTGGCTGTCAATTTTTTAAGTACGAAAATGTGTATACGATTTTTAGCCATTATGGAGGTCTACTTTGAACGTCGTACGAACATATATTTCCGTACATATACGAACCCGAAAACGCGCTGGAATCTAACTGATTTATTCAATTTATTCGGTACAAAAATTTGAAAAAATGTTATGCCATACCATTGAAATGGTATGTAAATGTTAAAAAAATGTTTTATTTAAATACTCGTCCTTATATAGTCATTAATTTTAAGTGGTAATCAGTCCTAAATTTTGAAAATTTTTCAGTCTAACATAAATTATATAGACTGGACATCACTCTTTTAAATTTTACTTTTTTTATAATACTAAACAAAATATTATTTTATATCTAAACTGGAGCACGACTTCAAATTAAATTAAAATCTAGTCAATATTGAAAAAATGATTTGTAGCCCACACCGAATTCGCGTTTAATGTTATAATCATATTCCTTGTAATATTATAAATTATAATTATAGATAATTTCGCGCCGGCCAACTGTTTTAAACCTGTCAGAATTCATTGACTTGGGGGCGATCGGGTTTTAATAATATTATAATATAACAAGAATAATAGCAATATATTTCCTAAAAGACGTGACCATTATTAAACCGACCATGATACATTCGTAGTTGAGTTTCGGTGAAAGTTTCGACACACAATCTTTGTTTCCTTAACAACAAAAATCTTCCTGTGAATATTTAACGGCTTAATAATAAAACACATACGCCCGGTGGGACCGGTGTCGCAATCATCGAAATATATCAATTTATACATTTAAATATGTATATTTTTTTTCAATAGACTCCACTCGTATTCCCAATTTTGCATTCCTACGGGACCGATAAATTGTTTACTTAACCTACCAGACTGTAATTTCTATTCTTTGTTAGAAATAAAAGACACTCCTTGACGTCGTTTTCTTAAAAAAAAAAAATAATATATATATATATATATACATATATCCGAAAACCAGTCAGTATGATTTAATAAAACGCTACTTACCATAATGCCAAGATATATGACCGTGTATACAACGGCACGCGCTGCAATTACATTTATCTAAAAAATAACGAGTACACATGCATACGCTTAATAGTTAATACTAACCTAACCTAACTTGTTTTTAAGAAACAAGACGGATTGTAATAAACCGTAATCATGATCATACTATGACGATCTCGAAAAAAACCGCCTAAAGTTAACAAATTTTAAGTGATCAACTTAATTTATAAACATTGCTTTCAATTGTAAAACATATACTGATAAAACATTAAAAAAAATATTTACAAATTAAAATTACGATTTTTAAGTTTGAATAGTAGATTACAAAAAAAAAATGCACAATTAATTTTTTAAAAATTATTTATTAATGATGTTTCTTTGAATTTTAACTTTTTTTTATGAAAACTCATATGTGATAGGAATAAATGCATTTTACGAGATTCCTCTTCTCTTTTTTTTTATTTGTGTATTTTGTAAGCTAAATATAATGATGAGATCAAAATTTCAAAGTTATGGATTGTTAATTTTTTTCCAAAATGCATGACTGAAATGCATAGAATACATATTTTGTTAAAACTAACTTTATTGTATCCGGTAAAAATCATTATATTAGTTTTAATACAAGTAGTAATAAAATTAAGAAACATATTATATTGTTTAGACGATTGTCTATTTTATTTTTATTTTGGTCATAACTCAATATGTATAATTTATGTGTTTATTGTGTTGTACATAATGAATAATAAAAATAATAAATAATAAATTTAAATGACGGTTGTATACATCTCACACCATGCTACATTGTTCAAGCCTTAGACGGTGACAGCCTATTTTCAAACAATCAGAATGGAGACCAACTTAATGTAATAGGAACATTTTTTTAATTTTTACTATACTTAATTTTCACAGAACCAGTTCAAAAAATAGTAGGTAGTAACATTTATAACAAAAAGTGTGCATATTATTAGTGTTGGATCAAATTTAGTAAAATGGAATAAAAATTTAAAAAAATAATTTTTTAAGGACAAAAAAAGTATTTTTCAAACGTACAGAAAAATTACGTCCGGCAAAAATTAGTCGACCAGCTTTAAACATGTTATAAAGTAGTGGAGGTACTCTGCGGTTTTGCATAATTATTAATACTCACCGCGTGCACTTAGATCGAGCTGCCCTGGGTTAAAACCCACATCAAATTTATATTGTTCTGTTATGCCGTTATACCTATTTTTGTACACAATATTATTGTTGTATAACACTGCTATAATACGTGGATGATCACTAACCGTATCTGTTGTTGTTGTTGCTTGCCGTTCCTTTATTAATCGCCGTGCAGCGACAACGAACTAATGGAAGATCCGTTTAACATGTACCCGGTGAAACCATCAATTTCCAAAAGACCACCAACGTACGGCACCTCGCCTACCGTCCCTTATGACGCTACCAGGTACTTAACACCCGCACTGGCCACCATTCTTGTGTGTAACCTTTATAATAATACGAGAATAAAGTAGATTGTGTATGATTTTTTTTTTATACGATATGTAATTAATTGTTTTATATAATATGTAGTTTGTTTCCCGTCCGTTGGGGTTAAGTGGAGTTGTTGCTAACAAAGCAATTCCGGTGGTGTACATTTTTGATGTGGAATTTTTTCCCCCGAGGTGTGTACCTATCACTTTTAACTAAACTTAAATGCAGGGTTTCGTAAACGCAACGAAATAAAAAGAAATTTTTAAATAAAATCGTTCGTTTCGCTAAAAACTAACAAAGTATAACATAATATAAATATTTGTATGTTATTTAACTTTTGTTTTGGTCACGTTTTTATGCGTTACATCTAAAAAAACTAATATCTATGAACTAAAATATTGTGTATTCAGTATTTCCTAAACAAGTTTAGTAGAATTATTTTCAAATTTGAGACTTATACCAAATAATGACTATACCAAATGTTCAACCAAGTCGCATGACTATTTCATAATTTTCTCTAAATTAATGTGTTATTATAAAAGTGAAAATAGTAGTATTATTGTATAATATTTTTTTTAAATAATTATTTTCATATTAGCTGAAGAAACCGAAACTATTTTTATTATAAAAATGTGATACTTTGCTCCGTTAGCATTTTAAGTTGTGTAAACAAATAAATAGAAAATATTCTGCTTGTAAAAGCTTAACGAACCTATAAATGTTAAAGGTTAAGTTGTAAAAGTTAATTCAGTAAATATATTTCTTTAGGTTCTGTGTAGAATAACGTTGCATTATTTATTGTTATTTAATTGTTAGGGGGGGAAAAATTCCATTTCGTAAAACGTTACGTCCTTGAACATATTTCGAAATATAACATAATGTTATCAAGCCATACATAAGAAATATTATGCTTTCAATCAAAAAATGTAACTAGACAAAAGGGTAGCAACTAACAGAATTGTTACTTCTGAACGATTAATGTGCATCACTAGTTGTTGAGATAAAATGTAAATACAGCATTTTTTCTGTAATACATATTGGAATAAATACTTTTTTACATTTCATTAAAAGTTAATATTCATTTTGTAATAGAATGGTTTTAATTTCTAAATAAATATTACTACGCGTTTACCGTTATCCCGTTTATGATGTAAATCTACTCAACTTTACCCTAATATAATAGTAGCCTAGTATATTATTATAATTTGTACCTATTAGTTGACATGGCTGTTGTGTAATGTAGTATAAATAATGGAGTGTAAGTCACTAGAAAACTACCTGTTTATATATATTTGCTGCTTATTTTGCCTTCCCAAATCATTTTGCTCGTCCGTTTTTTCATTTTTTTAAACATTTGACTGATTTTTTAGTTTTTAATCAGTGTACTGTGTATTTAGTATTAATGTATGCTTAATTTGTATATATTGTTAGCAATAATATTTAATTTCATTTTTAAATGATTATTACTTCAAACATTACCTTACTAACGGAGTAGACGCTGGGTGATTTCTTAAGTAAAAACATTTAATGTAAATTAATTAAATTTCACGTGCAATAAAAAAATTAACTATTAAATAATAACAGAAACCATAAGCCCAGTGGTATTTTGACCCGACAGTACTTTTTTTCACAAACCCCATTTTCTACTTTTTTAGCGAATCGACTTGTTTCACATTTTAATTTTGGACACGATATATAACAGTACACTTTTAAACTTTGAACACAAAGAATTTGAAAACTTTTGTTTTATGCATTGAACTTTTAAACAGACTAGATTAGGAAAACGTTCACATTGTTGAATGCGTTTATATTTGCAGTATTTTTGTTTTGTTTTTTTTTTATATCAGTTTTATCGCTATTGCATGGTCATAAAAGTTTTCGATGTTCCAGTCTAACGCTGATAATACGTTTTCCTTTTTTTTTTCAGGATAAGGGTGGAAAACATGGAAAGACAAATCGCCAACCTCACGGGGCTCGTCCAAAAAGCTCTGACCCACACTCCCGTTGTCCCCCAACCGTTCCGAAGTGGTAAGTATCCAAACTCACCACATTATCTTTTGCATATCTTCACACTTAGAGTTTTAGAAATGCGTTCCGAAACATTTCAAAAGGCTCTAAAGTCTAATCGACTATTTAGAGGTTTTTTTTGTACAAACTAAACTGCATCCCTAACAGTAATGTGTAAATAAATACAAAATTGTTTTACGATATCTATTACCTAATGAAGCACACGCCTGTTTTTGTTGACTTTCTTTCATACTTGTTTATTTTATATTTACAAAATATTATACCTACACTATATTTTATATTCTACCCCTAACCTTTAATAAGCTTATCCTAATTACGGTTGTGTTTATTTTACTATACTAACCCCGGGACAGAGTTAGGCGACAATTATTTAAATAAAAATAAAAGTTAAAAATATTCAATATTCATCTGATATACATACATAATATATACGGGAAAACATATCTATATTATATTTTTTTTCTCCGTTTGTATATAGTTCGCTAAAATAATACATTTTTCGTAACAAATGAGTTACAACATATTCAATTCTAAATACTCATTTTTATTAGTTATGGACTCTTATTTTTTTACATTTTTAAAGTTTTACTGAATACGCCAATTCAATATTTTTATCCGTACAAATATAATAAAAGTATAACATTTTGAATGTAAGTAATTTAATAATGAATATAAATAGTCAAATACAATTTTGTTGTAACGATTATGCCAAACTCTGCCCTGAGATATCGACCACATTTATCATTATACTTAGGTACTGACATGTACAACCGACGTCCCGGCATAGGTGTAACTATGAGATCACACTAGGAGTATCGCTAGATGATACATTCATCATTTTAATGACAGTAAATTAACTATTATATAAGATACTATATTTAATAATATATTAATACTTGATAGTTATTTTATTGTTATCGGCGAGGTACTTTTTTGAGGAAAAAAAAAAGTCACCTACTGCTCAACTTTCTATTTCTTTTTTCTCGAGTTCAAGTGTAAAATTCAATTGATACATCTCTGCCGGTAGTCAAATAAATTTGCTTTGTGTTTGGCGTGTACAACCTTTAAAATTTGTTCTTTTTTTCATTATTTACCTTCAGCTAGTGATGAGTTCGATAAAGTGTCCAGCGGAAGCTCCACGTCTCTCGCAGGTACGTTGTTCGATTTCTACCCGTTGAATAATCTAAACGTTAGCTTGTATATGTACGCAACTGGAGTCACCGAAATGTGTACTTGGTTTTTGGTTATACCTACTTTATCTCATGTATTTTACCCCGCTAAAGCGCTACGAGGACCTTTATCCGGTCCATGTCGGGAGTACAATACAATAACATAATTTGCTTTTAACCTTTTTTACCATGCGTGCACATATTTAACGTGTACCTAATTATACCGAGTGATTCTTTTATCGACCTACTTGAGCGCAGTAGGGCGATTAAAGAACCTCTCAGTGCTTATATGTATATATTATATTATTAATATAACGAACAAAAACCTCATACTAGAATATCGTGTTCTTTGTAGAGGAACCGTACAAGCGATCCGACACTAAACCTCCTAAACTCGGACGAGGTACAGTCATTATAATTTATATACTATCATGTATAGTTAATTATAGTTTATAATCGTTTATGCATGTCGCCGGTTTTAGCCTACCTATACCTATAGCGCACAATTTTCTTCTCGCTCACCTGTGCTCTTTCTTTCCAGTATAAAACGCCTGGGCTTTATAAACTTTTTATCGTTTACTATGTAATTATATTTAACGACGCTTTACATAGTCGCTACTGTTGCCGGCGCCCCGTAAAGGTAAGAAAATATCAAGAGACTTAATTATTATCCCAAACGAAAAACGTTTTATAACCTTCTTTTTTTAACGTTAATTAAAAAAATATGTGTACCGAAGAGTATACTTTATTTTTCGTAATATCAATTTCCACAACCATAAGCTAAGGCTAAAAAAATATTAAATTCAAAGCTTTCAGCCGCCGATGAAGTATACAACAATATTAGTATTTAATTTGCAGCGAGAATTAGTCGGTAACGGTTGTTATTATAAAATATGAATAATAAACGTTAAAGTCTAAGTGTAGTGTAAAGTCTAGTGTTTAAAACATTTTTTATGAAATATTTCAAACGAGTGAAATAGTTTTCATTGTATTTACACAGCAAAAGAAATTGTTAGGAATAATTTGGATTTATTAGGCATGTTAAACTAAATTGCTTTCTAATTTAATGTTATGTATTGTATGTCTAACATTTTTAAGTAGGTATATAAATAAATTGGTGCAATTTCTTTTACACGTTTTTACTAGAAAATAACCTAAATATATATATTTTTTTAATTGCAATTATAATAATACATATTGTTCTCATTTCTCTACAAAATTAATCCATTCTCATTGATATTTTGGCTTGCGCTTTATTTTATATAAGTTAAATTAGGTTTTAATATATACTTTATATACTTTTGCACTGTTTATGTTTATCCATTTAAAGAAACTTTAAAATCAAATTAATTTATAAAAAAACATAGCAATGAATTATTGTTTAGTTAGCTATATGATTCTGCGTTCAGTATATAACTTGATGAAAATCAAGATGATTTCTATTCTGCTGTCATAAAGCTCTCTATAGGCTACTATGATTAGCATAGTTATTCAATAATGAAATTATAATATATTCTCAAACGTTATTAATAAAATACCAATAATAATAACAATATTATACTGTACATTGGCAGTCTATACGCTTTTGTTGATTGTATTTTTCATTAACATCACATTATAACACATGAACACACTTGACTGGTTTTCGATTAACACTTGGCAAAAACTTATTAACGTTGCAGACAAGTCGGTATCGTTCGAGAAATCAGTATCGTTCAGTGACGAGCCGCCTGACATGAACTCGCCCAAACAACATTCGCCTCAAAGTTCAGGTAGGTCGTCGACACACTCGAAAAACTATAATTATACTTATGTAATCATTTTGTATTTGTTGGCTGATTATAATAAAAAATATATACTATCGTATTTTTTTCGCGCCCACGTCACCGCTCACAGATTTACATTTTTACGGAGTGGTCTTATCTTAACTCCCGTGTATACCGTGTATAAGTAGATCTTGTGAATAATATAACACACCACGCACTCATACGTTTGTCTTGGTAACAGTTAATCCGAAAAGCGTGAGAGCAGAAAAGCGAAAGACACAGAGGGAGCATTGCACAGTGTGCATTAAATTGTTGTCTGTATACATATTATTGTTTTTGTTTTGTTTTGTGTTATCGCTGCTTATCGTATAGCGGACACGAAGCCTCCAAAACCGGCAATTAAATCGTCCACGTTGCCTAGAACGGCGTCACAAGGTAAAACACAAAAATAACACAAAAACTGCACGCACGTAGAGTACACCTATATACAGCCGCACGTGTTTTAAACGGCGACTGACCAGCACCTTATTAGTTCATGAGGATTTATCGTAATCGGAATAGGACCACATCTAGATTTACCGAATTTGGAAATTTCCAAATCAATTTCAATTTAAATATCCTATTTTAAAGAACTCGGATTTTAAATATTATTAATCGGCTCTCTTGATCTTACATCCTCCCCCGCGGTTACCCCAGAATAACGATAAAAACGTATACAACTCCCATAATAACCGCATACACAGTATAGAACCATCCTAATATTGCTGACTTCAATTACCTCTGACCATCTTTTCTCGGATGATTCTCCGCCACTTTTCTTTTTACATTTATCGTCAATTACCAATTTATAGCCACCTCAATTTCTTCCACTTTTTTTAAAGTTGAGGCTTCTCCAAAACTACCATTAGTATTATACACTCAGTGTTTTTATTGTTTACTGTTGTTCTTCTAAGTTTTAATGTCTCAACTATTTATTTTCGATTTTTCTATACTTAGCGCTACATATTTCTCATTGCTTAATAGTGTGTTCACTCCGAAACGTGTCATCCACTCATCCGTCTAATACACAATGACCATTATACGGTCATTGCGGTATAGTATATGAGCCGTTTTGCAAACAAATATAACTGATCCGCTCTTCTCAGTGAAAGGATAAAAGTATAAAACATAGATCATGATGTTATCGTGACTACTCATTTATAAATCATTAAATGCAGTTTCTTTATAACTGGATAATTTTCATTGTTAAACGTATTTCCTCGTTTTGGACACGCCTTTTCCCTTTGTCTACACCTAAGCCGGTTAATACTGTGTCGTCACGCCATTCCTAGTGATGTTTTATAATAATTAATAACTTAATAACCCAACCTAATCTTTTAAACGCGCGCCAAACTCTTCTACTAGTAACGGTTCTTGCAATTCATGTTTTCTAACCCGAAAATGTATTCTGTTAACAAAACAAATTATCATCAATAAATAAAAACATTAAACTTCTCTATCGCGTATAATGTTTAAGTCATAGCTTTTTGACATTTAACGGCCTTCATTTGTTGCATATGTTTATGACTTATGGCTATTGATTTTAGTCTCTATGATGTTCATTAATTTTTTTTTCAATATCTCTTTCAAAAATTTGCAAATATTTTAAAATTAATACAAATAGAAAAACGTTTTATCGACAAGTAATATATGTTCTCATCACTTCTATTGTTCTCTTTTTAATTTTTAGAGTGTTTAAATTGTATTGATGTATTTTTGTTTTATTAAAAAATGTCATGTAGTTTTTTAACCCGATGGGATAGATGTCTCTTTAATGGTTTGATGGGAATTGCATTAGAGAGTCTTTTACAGAAAACTGTCTTAGTAATTGAATTTGAATCGCTCTTTTATTTTAGATACTATGAAGAAATAAATTGTATTCCTCGCGTCCGCATTTGCCCAGAAATTCAAATTATTTTGTAAAAATAAATAAAATAACGACAAGACTTTTCTTTTATTCCTGATAGGTAATACTCCTCTTTTTAATTAATGATAATATATAGACATAAAAAACACGTTGTTGTGTACTTCAGATAATAAACCTACACTTACTTTTAAACAACTCTTTATTCGGACACTGGTCATTCGCTTAGAGATATAAATTAAATACTTTATTTTTTTTTAATAAACCTCGTAATATAAAATACCTATTTAGAGAGATAGTATAAATGGAAATTGTCAACAACTTAGTTCGGACGATGCATGAATGGTGTACGTATTACGTTGAGTACCAACACTTAGTTTGACAAAACCCAATAGTTTCTTGCATTTTAAAAAAAGCTATTCCAAATTAGCAGTTCGTTAAACCAAGTTAATTGGTTGCACTGGCTAAATGCGGGTTAATTAAAAAAATGTTGACATCCTTAAAATAACTACACGAGTATGCATTTTGTTAAAAATCAAATTATACAACCATGACATATTAGCCAGGTATAGCTAGATATTTTAATTTATTATCGCTATGATTTTTAAATGTCAAAATCTGATTTAACCTCTTTTACTCCTTGACAAAAGCTGTTGTCGTTGTTGAAATTATTCAAGTTGGTTTTTTTTTCGCAGAAAAAGACCGTTTTAAACCACCACCCCCGCCAAAGCCAGCTGCCATCCCCGGGCAGTATGATAGCAGACACTTGTACGGCGGTAAGTAGCTTTAATTGAATTGTAAACGTCATATTTTATTAATATTATTTTAACGGTCTTATGCATATTTTGTGTCTGTTTAGATTTACAGCTCACTCCGGAAATGTACAATCAGCTGAGAGTGCTGCAGAAAAAAGCTAAAGATTTGCGACAAGAAGCGCGGAGTCTGAGAAGGCTGTCTCAGGCGCAGGCTCACACAATCAGGGAGACCATCAAAGACACGTTCATAAAGATAAGGTGAGTCCCAATAAATAATTCAATTACAATGTTACTAGTGTCGTAGTTGCGCATTGATAGTAATAATTTCGGTTAGGTACCATTGTTAGATAAATCAACGATATTTGTACGTGTGTATGAGAACAAAAGTTTTGTTAGATAATTTGACCTACTAAATGTAGGTAATCGAAAAACACAAGGGAAAAAAATTTCACGCGGTACGTTGATTTTCAATACTCTAGGTCAAACGTATATCGTAATGAGATATCCGATTAGGAGGTTTCCCCAGAAGTATTTCATTATTATTATTTTATTACTTTTGTTATTGTAGTCATGCAAAAATATATATATATAGATATTATATAGATTATTAATAAAAAATTGTATTTAAAAACTAAACAATCGTAACTAATATATGTTATTTTATTACCAGAAAATAGGTTGATGAATATTCGCAATAACTAATCAATGTAGTTTAGGTATTTTTTTAAATTACTACTTAATTATTTACAAGCGACACCAAGGAGTAAATGCTAAAAGATATAATAATAAGGATCCTTAATATTAAGGATCTTTTTTCATAATATTATAACATCAGCCGCTATAGTCTGCCACTTAAAAAAACCCGAAATAGGATTTGTATAACTAATAAAATTAACGTTTACGTAACTCAATACTATAAGTATTCTAAACTGTTAAATAACAAAATTAAAAATATAATAGTTATGACCGTTGGGTACAGACGGTTAACCCAGTTTCAAAATTCAAAATAACGCGGCCAATATTAAATAGACCGTCGATTCTAAAGCGGAAGATTTGTTGTAACACATGTAAATTGTTGTTTTAATACATCACACCTCACACTAGAGGCGTAAAACATTGTAATTACTAGGCTTTGACAACATTCGCGTGCATTGCTATTTGACTGGAAGCCTTCAATGTTCCAATTATTGTGTAATATAATTATTATCATATGTTTTGTTTCTAGAGCGTTGATTGCTTCCGGCGCTGACCAGGCGTGGAGCGAATCCGGATCCAAGGAGAGAGCCCACGTGGATAGGGAAGAAGATATTTACAAACAAGAAATCGTCAGACTAGAAACTGACCTCACGTAAGTGAAGCAAATTATGTTGTACTGTTAAAACGCTAATCAGAGTCGGGTATAAATGTTTATTCAAATGATAATGTATGTCTAATTAAACAGTGGTGTTAAACGTGCATTGTTATAGTGGGTTTAAGAGACTCATGTTGAAAACTCAAAGCTCGAAATAAGTCTTTCCTGAAAAATAGACCAAATATATTATGATGTACAAAACACTCGACTCAAACACATAAAAATACACAGGCACAGACAATGTTCCCTAAGGAGTTTCAATGACAATTAAAACTAAAATATTGCATTTCAAGTTATTCCATAACAATAATCCTACAACAACTACGCTCCGGTACGGTTCGCAAACTGAGTTTAGCCACTTTTGAAAATTAAACACTCCAATGTCGATAAACCGCAAACACGAGTTTGAGGATTCTTCAAAACTAGTTAAAAACTATTATCTGATATTTCACAGCGACCATGAACATACTACTGTATGTTATATTTACAGTACCGCTATTTGTATAGATATTCTCTAGATTGTTTAATTTGTACATATAATCATAAGGTCTCTGTGGACTTTTCGTTAATAAAAGGTTATTGTTTATTTATAGGGAACTCGAGGGCACGGTAGAAGAACTCCGCGGTAACGTGATTAACAAGAAATCCCGAGTAAATATGTCGGATGTAGAAAATATGGCACTCGTCCTCAGCAAATCCAGGTAAATATATGGATAAACTACAAAACACCAAAAAGACAGCTGAAAAACTACTCGACCGAATATGATTATATATTGAATATATATATATATATATATATATATATATATTGTATATAATATTATATATATATATTGAATTATACTTTTAAAAATCAATAACTGATTTCTTTTTATTTCGGTTAGATTTGACTTTAAAATCGAAATATTTTTAACCATAATGACTACAAAATATTATGTTATATAAAGCGATAACTTGCGTGTACTGATGATGCACGTATGTACATTTTTAAAACTTTCATTAAAATAAAGCCAAGAGGATGAGTAAAATCCCTTTAGTTCCATCCTTTGAACAAATTCTGGTAAACGATGCACGTACCTACTAGCTATATTAGAAATAACTAATAATCAAAATTGGGTATTAATCGAATAATTTTTTATTTAAATAAATTAACTATTTACCCATGATTAATTTTCTCCCACCCTCTGAAAGGAACCTGTATACGTATAAAAATAAGTTAACTCAAAATTGAAATAATTTGGCGAATATTAAAAGGTTGCTCATGTAAATATTTATAAAAAAAAAAGCTTGTCTCGTTTACTCAAAATTATAATTTTTTAATCATAATAAATTTATAATAATAAATGTATTTGTGATAAATATCATTTGTCATCAAATTGACTTTTTACTTTTAACTTAAATAAATGTACCAAACACTGTTAATAAGTATGGGTTTTCAACAACTATTGGTCCAACTTGATATCTATAAAATATCTCTCGATTTTAGAGAACCTCTCAAATACTTATAACAATCTACTGTAAAAATTATACCAATGATTCGTTATTACTGTCATCATCAATGATCAATGGTAATTGTTACTAATAAAAAACACCTTGACGTATCATTTACAGTAAAACGGTTGCCGAACTCAAGTTGAGGTTCCCGAGTTTACACGAATCCATCAGAACCGTGTTGACCAAAGAGATGGACAGGGCAGTCGCTGAAGAAAAGTACTGAATTGATAAGCGCATAGTGCATATTATCATTATTTAAATTAAACGTTTTCGATTGTTGTTTGAAGGTTTCTCAAAGAAGAACCCGATCGATTGGAGAGCGCACTCAAAAGGTGTAAAAAGCTGACCGGAACGCTTGTAACGTTAAAGAGGTATTATTATAATATTGTACAAACCGCGATCGATTTCTGTAAGCTAATTAAAACTACTGCATCTTGCCCTGTAGAGTTACGGGATTTTATCTATGTATAATCTATAGGGAAATTACATTTTTTTTTAATCTCATTACTTTGTAAATACATTAGTATTCAGTTATTTTATTTTTAGCAAACGATAAATACTCAGTAAGTACAAATTTGAAAAACGAACGCGACTAAACAATTTCATTTTTTTATCATTTTATTCTGTTGTTTTCAAACTCATTGGGATCATTAATTTTTTGTGGGGTGGAAGTGGTAAATACTATCTATCACGATGGAAATAGGGGGCAGTTGTCGTCCACTCTACTAGTTTTTGCAAATTTAAATTCTATAAATATAAATAAAAAATCTCGAATATTTAAATGTCAAACGCTCGAATGATCTAGAGATTATTTACGACCAAAAAATATGTAACACAAACAATGTGTAAAATTTCTATAAACTAGAAAAAAAATAAGCAAAAATTTAAATGGAGATCTTAAGCTCTCTTTATTTAAGAAGTTAGACAGTAGTACGAGAAAGGATTTACTTGAAATTTTCTACATTAATTTTTTTGGTAACTCTAAAATACATTCACATGTATTAAATTTATTATATTTTACTAAAAGTTAATTGAAAGTGTGCGTAAAGGGAAATCGTTGTTTTCACTTGTGGAATTTGGAGAAAACTCGTTAGTCTTTCAAAGACATTTTTCCAAAAAAATGTTGATCGTATTTGTTACTATTTAGATAATTTTTGAATTTTGTATTTTTCAGACTGGCCTCGGTTCAAGAGCAACGTTTGCCCGACCCTAGACTGTCTCCGACAAACGAGGAGACACCGCCGATCACTCCCACGTCGTCTGCCAAGGTATAACTTGTTAATTGTTTAATTTTGGCCACGTTGGTCGAGGCTAATTTCTTAATTTTTATTATTTTAGAATCGATTTTATTTTAATGCAGTTAATACATTTTTTATTTGAGAAAATAATAAATTTCATTTAGTTTTCGTATATTATATACCTTGTTGTATAACTTGACCGTATTTCCGAACCGTGTCGTATATAACTACTAAGACACTCGCGGCCATTTTTTTTTTTTTTTTTTTTACAAAATTCTGGCTTTGTTGATATATTTATTCATATTTAATTATCAATCGATTATTATTATTGTTGTTATAATTATAATTATTATTATAATTACTATATTGTTTTATTAGTTAAACTGGCTTATACGAAAATTTAGTTGATAATTTGTTTTTTGTTTTTATCTAACGTGTGTAATAATATTATTATTGATCAGATACTAATGCATTTCCAATGTGTTTTTAACGTTTATTTTGCAGTTTTTTTCCTTATTTATTTTTTACGTATACAAAATATGTTTAATAATACTATTTATACGTGTGTATGTACGAATGAATATTCGAGATGCATAAGTATATTATATTAATATATTCATATTATATTTAATGTTGTTTTCCCACTAGAGATCACGAATTTCTGATTAAATAGTGTTAATGGAAAAACAAAATAAGAAAACAAAAATCTTTTTAAGAGCTTTTATAGAAATTAATTTTTGTTTGTATTTTTTTTGTTTTAAATCGGCTACCAGTTTGGTTGGCGTTGGAGTGCAAACTTCAAGGATGCGATTACTAGCCATGAGTAAATTTTATTTTATTATTTTCAATTGATTATTACAAATATCCGAGTTTCTTCGACATTTTAATTTTTTTTACTACGCTTATTTGTTTATTATTACTATATTTATAATTATTTATACATGACTTTATGTAATAATATGTTTTTATTCATCCGCTTGACTCGTCATACGTTCATCCGACTATCACACTATTATAATAATACATATTTACCTTTTTCAATTCTCGTATTTTGCGTTTATTTTGACTTTGTTTTTTACAATTATTTTACTCGCCATAATTTCATTCGCATTTTCCGTGGTGAAACGCTGTTTTTTTATATTTTATTATTATTATCATCTATTTAAAACTAGTATTAAATGAGTACTAGTATTTTTAATGTTGTTATTATTATTACTGTTTTTTTAGCTCGTTTAATTATTATACCTATTCTGACGATGCATGCGTCATTCGTTTATTACTAGTTTACACATACATGAATTGTGGTTCAGGTAAAGGTACCATAAGTATTTTCTTTACTTTTGCCCATTTTGGTTTTTATAGACACTTTGTTTAAAACGTTATCCCATTTCATCATCAAGATATGTTTTATATTTTGTTTTAACGTATATAAGATTGTTTTATCGTCTATTTTATTGGTAACATTTTATAATATCTGTTTTGCATGGAACTATATACAGACAACTGTCTTTTTAATTTTCATATTTCATTTTATCATATACCTAATATACATTTCTATTGTGGTTATACAGTACTACACACACTCATACGAATCCGCCTTTATTTCAGTTAATAATAATATTATACTATACTTTTTGTACCGAGAAAATAGTGTAGGATGTCGTTTAAACAGTAATATAAAAGATATGTAAAGTTAATTTCACATTGGAAATGTTTAGAATTTATGTTATATTAATGCTACATAAACTATAAAACATATATATTTATATGTATGTATATATATTGTTCTAAGAATTTTACTTAATTTGTAGAGCTTATTAAAATATGTACACGAATAATAGTACAAAATTCCAACACACTTCAGTGGCGGATCCGAAAAAAAACACCGGTCGCGGATCAAAGATTTTTAAACATTTTTAGTTTCTGAATTAACGTAATAACCATCTAATCTTGTCTAAGTATATCGATGTTAAAATCGTCTTAACAATTATGAGATTAGCCATTTGAAACCCAATTGTCTGACTCAAATTATGATAATATTATTATTTTGCATAACATTATATTGTAATTGGGAAAGAAATGGGAGACGGAGGAAAGATGGTGGGGACAGTGACCGCTACCTCTTCCCAACCCATATGGACCACCCTTTGCTCTTCTTTTGTTTTTGTTCACGACCGGTTAACCCCCTTCCCTACACAGATTATCTTTGACAGATTAAACAAAATTAACACAAATATGAATTTAACCGTTTGCCCAGTCCGGAACGGATACGCCGCTACTAAATGTTTTTAGGTGTTATTTACTATTGCACTTTTTTATTCATGCTTTTGATATACATATATATATATATATATATATTTGCTTGCTAAAAAACAATTTTTGTGTAGATTATTTTGTTTTGTATGTTTTATATTATTTTAGTTGCGTGTGTTTTTTGTTTTTTTTTTTTAATCTAGCGTATGAATAACGCCTGCACGGACAATGTAGATTGTGAGCAGGTATTGTAAATATAATTTTTTTTGCCCCGGATGTCCGTTGCAAAATTGTCTATAGTCGATACCTGCCCGATTTTGGATTCGATTGTTCGGGTAAATACACGGTCATATTTTTTTTACACTAACACAAGTTCTTAAAATAAAATCGCGTTTAACGTTAGCAGAACGACCGAACAAAAAAATCCACTTAAAACAATCTGATAAACGAAAATCATCGAATTATATTTTTTGATTACTACTATGGAGACTTAACACTATATCCATAAGAGGGAGGAGAGGTCGTCTGGCGGTCTCAGTTATACTATGAAAGTGAATTGTTATACTTAAGGCATAAACACATTTACATTTTTACTTCAACATAAAGTAAAAATGCCCCTTTTGAATTCCTTTAAAATTCCAACAACACGGTGAAATAAATGTTTCAGAGCGATGAGGCAAATATTTATGAGCTTTGGGGATTTTTTTTTATGATCATTAATAGTGAACGACTTTTAAAATGCTCGACTTAACCTAACTCAACCAAACGTTTTGCGCGTAACCAAATTTTAACGTTACATATAAAGACCTAACAAAAGTTATCTTCATTCGGTCCTAGAAATAATTTAGTTGATATTAATTTGTGCACGATAATTTTTTCCACGTCAGTAGCTTTAAAATATTATAGCAGTCATACGTCGTATTATGTAGTAACACAATTTTATTAATTAATGGAACAAATGACCGTAGTAATAATTTTAGCTTAAATAATACACATTACATTAGCAGTTTAGCATAGACATATTTTTAACATTAATTTTTTTTTTATTTATTCATTAGTACATACGAATATTATAGCGGATAAACTGTCTTTCGTTATTAATACTTATATTGCGCTTGCCAAGCTTGAATTAGTAAATATAAATATTACAGACTAAAAAAAAATGTTACTGCTCCTATCTCCCCAATCGACGGTAGCCTATTAAAACAAGAAATCCCTAACGTTTCAGACCCCTGTTCAACACCTTAGTACTCCTTGTCATTTTTTTTTTTTTTACTCATCTAAGTCTTATCAATTAGTCAAAATGTCATAAAATTATTCTTCTTTTAAATAGTTCATTAAATATATGTACATACGTTTTCATTTAAGTTTCAAAAGTTGATAGCGTTCTGGAAAATACTAAAATGGTAACCATAGAATATTTTATAATACTGCACAAAGAAAAATATTTTCAAAAAAAAAAGTTATAAAACTTTAATTATTTTCCGAGAAATTTAGTGTCTTATGTTAAATTTAATATTCTGTATACCTTTTATATCATATGTAAATTTGTCGGATCAACTTAATACATGTTTTACGGATCTCTGAACTATTGAGTAAGTTTCATACTAAAAAATCTAGTTCTACCTTAGGTCTAATTTTCATACCTTAACTTTACTTGAAAAAGTGAAATAAAGAAAAAAAATGTACATATATCTCTTCTAAGAGAAAAGTTTTATGATATTTTAATAAAAAAATTATAGAACACCGTGATTTCAAGTTGAAAAATATGTAAATTTGTTGAGTGTTTTTCTCGATTTTGAAATAGAAGGGTAACTTTTTTAATTTTTGGCTCAATAAAGTACTTTAAGGTACGATTTCTGATATTTAGAGTTCTTACACGAAGAAATCAGTTCAGCGGTTTAAAAGATATCGTGGGTTCAGACACAAAAAATAGATAAATAAATAAAAACACATTTTATAAACAATACCTTCTCAACTTTGCATCGAAGCTAAAGAACACAAAATGTTTAAAAAAATGTTCCAAGTTTAAAGCAATAATTCGAGTAAAATAATGAAAGACAGTATATTTTGATTGCACAAAATATAAATTATGTTATTAAGTTTAAAAGTTAAAAATCCCATAATACATAATGTTATCATTACAGTGAATATTAAATAGTTTCTAAATAATATTGATGTCATACTCGTACTATGTATCTAATTACACTATCTTAAATTTTATAGGCATTCGATTTCTTTGTCGGTCTATATTTAATACATACGATATTTTCATATTATTATCATTTTTACTACCTTATTTGATGGTTAAGACTTTTTAACCGTTGAAGTTTTTTCTATTCCAGCACACTGTATTGGACCGGCCGTTTTTTAATTTCATTAACATTTCTTCTTCGAATACTCTTCTAAGTGACACATCCCTAACTTAAACCCTAAATATTTCCATTACCTACTCGATATTTAGTTTATACGTTTTTTTTATATTCATTACTCTATTATATTTATTTTATGATAAACATTAAACAGATAAAATAAGTCGTCACTGTATTGATACATTTTTAAAATCTCAACTAAAAACAATACAGTCTACGTTATACAGCATACGTGGCCGAAGTTCGTTTGTCGTGTATTAACGTTGCGTTGGTTTGTCTTTCAGGGGAGTGTCGTTGGACAGGGGAGTATCGTGGAACAGGTCGGAACCGGAACAACAACAGGCGGTGCTGGAAAGTGCGAGCCAGCAGGTGCGGAGAACGCACTCAACACTCTGCTAGACGAACTGCAGACCACTACGGCGTCGTCGGCCGCGGTGACGGACACCGTGTTGATGGCGCCTAGCAGACCGGTGTTGCGGCGCTTGAGTAGTACTTCAGCGGAATCGAAACCGCCGGTACCCGAACGGACACCCGACTTGCAAAACAAGCGTATGCCGCCGCCGCCGCCACCCCGGACCAGCTCCAAATCGCCGGTGGCGTCGCCGACCACAGGCGCCGGACCAGCCGCTTTGCCAAGGGGTTCGGTGTCATCGGCGGCCAGCGGCGGCAGCCCGCCCGCCCGCAGAGGCTCGCTGACCGCCGCCGTGACTACCGTCGTACTCAGCAACAACGGCGGCGGCGGCGGTGGTGGCAGCGGCAAAGCTCCGATGCCGGAACCTCTTGCTAACGCGACGCCGTCTAGACAGGAACAGTTAGAACAGCGGCACCAGGAGCTATTGAAAAAACAGAAAGCGCTACAGGAGCAATACTTGCGTCTACAGCAGTTGCAACGAACTCAACCGCCGCCAGATCTGTTGCAGTTGAAGAAAACGGGCAGCGAAGGTAATCTGCTAGTAAAGATGGGTCTAGCCATGAGTGCCGCAGCTCCGATATCGGGTTCGCTAACACAGCTGGCCGCTCCGAAGGACATCGCAAACAACACCGCCACCGACAACGGTTCGCAACAGACAGTCGCTTCCACTACCGCCGCCGCCGCCGCCGACCGCCACCAATAATACTTCCACAACAACGACCATAAACAAAGTGTACGAAACGGATATCATATGACCGTCAACAGACGTTTAGTCAAAAGTTAACTTAAGGGATAGTTTAATGAAATTTAGTTTTTATTATTTATTTACTTGCATGGATGTTTGCGCTGTAACTATACTCAATCAAATTTTATTTTTATTACTTGAAATCTGTTTTCTGAAGATAACAACCTGGGGGCTGGGCCAATCGATCAGTGGCCTGTTGACTATGGTAGATGTCATCGGGTGTAACTGTAGGTGATTAAGCAGACTGTTCTCATCCGCTGAAATAACATTTAAGCATACAGGATTATTCAAATTTCAATAAAGTTAATTGAAAATAATATTCTCTAACACCGTTATGGGAAAAAGGGACGACGCCAAGTTGGACATCTACGTGTCTTATAAGATTAATCGTTGTGTGGATCAAAATTATCAATTAAAATTATTTTGTTCTGTAATCGGCTTGACTTACAGTTACCAATTACCTAATAATAACTGTAAACAAAAATTCGTATTAAATGTTCTAAATACTTCAATATAACAATTTTCTTCTTTAATTTGTTTAGCGCTAAAAAACTGTTAAATAATTAGCTGCTGATCACATTTTTCTTAATGACAGTAGTCATTCGACTTACATGAGCAATTTTTTAGTTGGTGTCAAGTATATTCACTACCTACGATCAGAAATATATTTTTTTCTTCTAATAAAAAAGCAACAATGACATCCATTATATTACCACACATATATGGTAATATAATACGTACTTACGATACTTACGTACTTGATTGTTAGCGAGCTCTTCATTTTTTTGTCAAATTAATTTAACGATTGTTGCACATGTTTTTATTTAATATAAATATTTATTACATATACTTGTATATATATATATATATATATATATAAGCTTTGAATTCATATATATATATATATAAATGTATTATATTTCCCTATGTATTGCTCAAAATTGTTTGTTTCCTAAGTAAATAATACACTACATATTAAACATTATACCTATAATCATGTCAAAGTCATTTTCTATTATTTTACACGTTCTCACCGAACAAACATTTAAAAATATTGTAAATTTAAAAGTACTACAATTAAAATGATTATTGTATTTATCACACTTACTTTTTGGGCATCGTCGTTATTAATTTTATAGCACATTATTATTAGATTTCAATGTTAAGATTACATACCACTAACGTACTTTGTGTTATACATAATTATACAATTATTGTTGTTATGTATTATTTTTATGTTATTTAAAATGTTTATAACAAAGGAGATAACTAATTTATTTCACCAATTACGTAAAAATGTTAACTGCAAATGAATAATAATAAACAAAGTATTATTATTAATATTATATTATATGTAAATTGATTTATATATTAGTTTTAAGAATATGTAAAAGCTAAAAATTATTTATAATCATTTGAATGTTCATTTACAATTATCACTATAATAATTAAATGTTTATATCTGTCTTAATAGATTTTTTTTAATAATACGCCTACATACTAAGTTGGCCTACAACATTATCATGAGTACTACATTTATTGTCAAGGCTGCTCAAGCTTCCTTGAATTCGCACCCATTCAAAATTGTTCACATTTTTTATATTTGTTTGCTTTACTCTAGTATAATACTTTTAATTTGGTCTTTCTTATATATTTGTTCACGGATCAAATCAAGGTAGTTGAATACTTAATATCATTTAAATATTAATTATGAAAAAAAATGTATTTTGATCACATTACTTAAAATAAATACCAATTATGTATAGAATAATATAATAAACATACTTGAAAAATGAAAAACAATAACTACAATTTCAAAAACCAACAATTTAACTTGATATAAATCAAGTCATATAATTTAGAATAGATAACTACTTAGAAAATATAAACAGTAATTTAATAACATATCAAAAAAATAAAAATTGTATTTAATATTCTATAGAATGTTATTTATTTAGAATAGTGTGTGTTGGTCCCCTTAAAAATTAATTTCACTTCTTATGCTTTGTACGTGCTAGCTGATACATCGCCACCAGTTCCTGTCCAATTTGTATGAATATACTTTCCAGGAGCTGTCAACAATTCGTAAGTATGGGCTCCGAAATAATCACGTTGTGCCTAATAAACATAAAAAAATATATGGGTATGAATTATGATCATTTGTACAGTTAAATTTGATAATTGAAATTTTACTTGTAATAAATTGGCTGGAAGTCTTTCGCTACGATAACTGTCATAAAACGCCAAAGCGGTACTAAATGCTGGAGTAGGAATTCCCAACAAAGCACTATTGGCAACCACTTTACGCCAAGCAGCTTGACATTTATGAACAGCATCTTTGAAAAACGGATCGAGCAACAAGTTTTTAAGATTTGGATCAGATTCAAAAGCTTGTTTAATTTTTCCCAAAAACGCACTAAACATTAATTGTTTATACTAATTTATATAATATGAATCAAACGGAGAAATATATTTATATTATGTATAATACCTTCTAATAATACACCCTCCACGCCACATGAGGGCGATTCCTCCGTAGTTAAGTTTCCATCCATGAATTTTAGCTGCTTCCCGCATTAACATAAATCCTTGGGCATACGATACAATTTTTGATGCGTAAAGTGCCTAAAACCAATAAAAAATGTTGTATGATTTTCTTTTTTTATCAGCTTAAATTTTACATTGTTTATTATTTACCTGTCCAATATTTTTAAGGAACTCTTTTTTATCTCCACTAAAGGTCTCTGTTGGGCCTCGAAGAACTTTACTTGCTTGCAATCTCTCATCTATTAACGATGACAAACAACGAGCGAATACAGATTCTCCGATCAACGTAACAGGTACACCATAATCCAAAGCGGAAATTGCAGTCCATTTTCCTGTTCCTTTTTGTCCTGCAGCGTCCCGGATCTTTTCAACTAAATAATCTCCATCTTCATCTTTATACTGTAGTATATTTCTAGTAATTTCTATTAAAAATGAATCTAAATCTCCTTTGTTCCATTCTTCAAACGCTAGGCTCATTTCTTTAGGAGACATATTTAATGCAGACTTCATTAAGTGATATGCTTCACAAATAAGTTGCATGTCACCATATTCAATTCCATTGTGTACCATCTTAACAAAATGTCCAGCACCATCTTCACCGACCCAATCGCAACAAGGTTCGCCATCAGCTTTAGCAGCAATACTCTAAAATATAAAGACTATAGTAAATTTATTTTTTTAACAGTGCAACCGATACAATAACATGTTCTATAAAGTGAAAGTCAAAAATATTTAGTAGTTAAAGAAATAATAAAAAAAAGTGAATGTTTTATTTCAAGGTATTGTTTAGAAATATCCACACCCGAATAACCCTGTATTTACTCAATGTTACAATGGTCAATGAAATACAATAATGTAACATGCTCTCAATTGAGAACTATACACTTTTTAATAGTTTATAGAAGACAATGAATATTACACCAATATTCTGTTATATCTTTTCATTATACTTACTTGGAAAATGTTTTTAATGCTTGGCCAGGCTTTGAAATTACCTCCGGGCATAAGTGATGGGCCATAACGAGCTCCTTCTTCTCCTCCAGATACTCCAGAACCAATAAACAATAAACCTTTTTGAGCTAAAGTTTTCGTTCGTCTTTGAGTGTCTTGATATTCAGAGTTACCTCCGTCAATTATGATATCACCTTCTTCTAACAAAGGTTCCAGTTGAGCAATAAAATCATCGACAGCGCTTCCAGCTGAAAATTTAAAAGTATTACTCCTTTTCTATAAATAGTTATTTAAATTAAATCACAAATAATAAATAAACCTCTTTATTAGCTTTGATGCGGAGCAAAAAAGGTGTTGATTTTTACAATAATGTACTTTTATTATTATTTTATTTATTTTTTAGCAAGTCTATACATCAGAAATCGTATGAGAATGTTATTTTATAACTGAGGAAACACCCTAAATGTTCACATTCATTATACTACAATTACGGCAAGCTATAATTTTTTGAAAATGTCTTTAATTACTTAAAAACCTATGTGCGATATTCTTTAGAATAAGTACTACTGATCTACAGTGACAAATAAAGAAAATATCATTAACCCTTTCCCCTGAAAGGAATGGAATGGAATCTTTTTCTTTAATTTTACTTTTTTGATTATGTTGTAAATTGGTTTTCAAGGTTGCTTTTTTTACTTACTTAACAATTAACAAAACATTTAGTTACTATACAGCATACAATAATACATTTTTTTATTATAACTATTATTGGTTGCTTAGTAGCTGTATTTAAATTTAAAAAAAAATCAATTAAGTTCTAAATAATCATCTATAAATTTCTTTCCCCTCCCCTGACCTGCAGTATTTATATTTAATTAGTCAGGACTCATTTTGCATAATAGAAATAAGATAGTTTAAAACTATAGTACATTGTATTATTTAAATATAATACATAACAGAAATATTTAATGACACATAAAATTAACTTAAAAAAATAATTCAGTTGGCAACATTGGTCACCAAACCGATTATCAGATAAGGGAACTCGCCATAGTTTATCAGTAGTACAAGCCATAGCACGTTATTGTTTAAACTAGAAACAGTTCAAATTTCAATTTAGGTTTTATTACTTAAATCAACTCGAAAGTTATGAGAAATACTATAATTGTAGTTAGTCAGATTTTCATTTATAAGTTCTATTATAGTATTATGTTTATATTATAACCTAATTGAAGTTTACAAATTAATAATGGACCAGACTAATACATATGATATTGATGACTACATAGATCTTGCCATACCGCCAATTGAACAATCTATAGAAATTCCAGAAAAAATGGAATCTTTTGTGGAGCGCTACTTTGAATGCCGTTATGCAGTAAATGTTAACGACAAGCCAACTCAAGACTACTGTGTACTTATTCATTCAAATAATTTATTTATTTTAACACTCGCTCCATCACACTCTATAATGGGTAAAACTATTGAGAAAATTGATTTTCAAGTATCCGAAAGCACAGATAGAATGAAAAATAAAATGTCTGGTAAAGGAAAACGAGGAGCACAAATTTTACAAGCTGGTTCGACATTATTTAAAGTTCAGTGTTCAAACGGTGAAGAATACAAAATACTTTCAGCAGTTCCAGGGAAGTTAGTTGAAATCAACTCTAAACTATCAGAGAATCCAAACCTCATGTTGACAAAACCTAATGACCTTGGATACATAGCTGTGATCTTACCTCAAAAACAAAGATTTGAGAAAATTAAAGATAGTCTTATCACTAAAGATCAATACATGCAAATCATCAATACAACAGATTAGCAAATTTTTCAACGTTTAACGTTAAACAAAAATGTTTTCATCTACTAAATTTTTGTATACATTTGTATTTTATAGTGTTGCATTATTAATAACGTTGATCTATTTCATTATTATATGGTTTAAATTGAATACATACAATTTGTATCTTAAAAACCTTAAGATCCTTAAAAAAAATTTAACATATTTATACTTAACATACTTAAACCATTACTAAATGGGTTTATGACCATCAAAAGTTAGCATTAAAATATAAAATAATTTATTTTAAATTGTACTCCCAATTTTAAATAAATTGTAAATTATTTCTAAACCAGTAAATATTATATGCCTACACCTATTTGTTTCTACATTTTACAAATTTAAAAAATCGTAGGTTTTGTTAATTGCCAGATTTGTATTTAATTGTATATGAATTCAATCAATTTTGAATCAAATCAAGATCTTTGGATGAAATTTGACAACTTATTGCAAAGCTTCAACCGTATACACATACCTTTCACAAGCATCATAACGCGTCGAGGTTTTTTTAGGGAATCCACTAATTCTTTCAAAGAATGAGCGCCAACAATATTAGTGCCTTTGGCGCCTTTACTCAAAAACTCATCGACTTTTTCTACAGTGCGGTTGTATGCAGTTACAATAAATCCGTGATCGTTCATGTTCAAAATCAGGTTTTGACCCATTACGGCCAAACCGATCAAGGCAATGTCTGATCTTTAAATACAAGTAAAAATAATATAGTGCAAAATAATATAATATATAAGGTAAAATTCAAAATGTAATTTATACATACTTGCCACTCATTTTTGATAACTTTTAAATAATCTTCGCGTGTGAACACTTGAACGGTCAATAGGTGAATGGGTGATCTTTTGATATATCAAGTAAAACAGATCAAGAATCAAGGATTTCACTTTTCACGAAACGAAGGTTACATACCAATGGCAATAGCCGCCGGACAGGTTTTCGGTTTATTTGACCGACGAACGTGCGCAACGGATATTACGAATTTGACCTTAGCCCCGACGTGTTACAGAACCTCAGTCGATTATTATCAATATGTAAAATGTTCAATACTTAATTATTACTTTTACAATACCATAGAAAGGAAGTAAGTGGTAACAGGCGCCAATTGTACACAGTACATATAAAATCGCCAAGTCTACCGTTCCAACGCCTTGGAAAAATAAAGAAAACTAAATCAGCAAGTTACACTATTATTATTATGACGTTAATAGTGCTAAGTAAAATCGTTTTGTTATCAGCACTATTGACGTTTGAATTTCGTTATCAAGTTGCGTTGCCGTCTCACGCTTGTTGGATTTTGAATTTTGATAGCAACACAGTAAACTATACTTACAGACCATTGACCACAATGTAGAGACTAAAGAATATATTTTCTCTACATCGTGTTACAGACTCTACTCAAGCAAATAACCGATGATTCTTAATGATATCTGAGACATAGCATACTCTGTGTTCTGAAAATTATACTCATTTTAGATACTCCATTTTGTATTTATAAGGATTGTTCGTACAAAATGATCGTATAGAGTTGTGATAAAAAAAACCTTGAATTACAGTAAAATTTTAAAATTATTCCGATATATATATATATATATATACATGTACGTGTACATACACATATACAAGTACATTTGTACAAATATATGACATTGAGTATTATAATAAGATGTTTTTGATTCTTTCTAGATTTATTTCGTGAGTTAGTAATAAAACCGCCAAAACAGGTTGCTCACAATTAAGTGTTATTTAACTCAATATTGAGTTCAGTGTTACACCCCCAATTAAATCAGTAACGCACGAATCGATCAGGAAACTAGTCGAAAGTCGTGAGATCAAAAGTTACCAAATTCTTGCCCCCCCCCCCAAAAAAAAATGTTTTTTTTAAAATCATTTGCCAATCAGAAATTTTGACTATGTACAGCCTTTTTTACCGATCTGATTTCGTGCTTAAAAAATTTGATGCTCTAAATATCTGTCTTCTCGAATGGAAATCAGGGCGTTTATTTCAAGGGTTCGAAACGCCGTTTCTTTTGACCTGAAAAAAATATTGAAGGCTATTGTTTACCAAGGTATCCTTATTTTCCGAAACGTTAGTAAATTTTATTTTTAAGTAAAATTATACAGAAAATAGAAAATAATTATAACATTTTCCAATTTCATGAGCCAAGCTTGATAACTTTTGACTGTTTAAGTTAGCTTAGTAGTGTAGCAAAAGTTACTCTACCGCAATTGATCTCTCTCCTACAAATTCAAAATGATTATCAACTAGTAAAATTTTCAAAAATAACTTATTCTTTAAAAGGCCATCATGATTTGTTTTAAAATTAGGTCTTTAAGCACGCATCAATAATATAATTTTATACAATAATTTAAAACTTAATAGTAAATTTAGTGTCAATGTACTATTTATTTTTTATTGATTGTTATGATCACATTTTAGGATAATTAAATTCCAATATGGTGCCTTATGCAATGCAAAAATATTATTAAAATGTATTATCAATTGCCTAAGTAGAGTTATATTTTAAAATTATATTATTTTTAAATTTAACATTTTCTTGTTCATTAAAATAGGACTTTATAGTACGTTTGTTAAAATATGATAAAAAATCTGCTATTTGCAATAGTCACATGGACTTAATGTAAAATTGAATTGAATCGTAATATAACTCAATGATAGGTATAAATATGATATGCGGGAACACACATAGGGTATAGTGAAAAAAGACAATTTTTGAAATCGTTTTCGTAGTACCTTTAAAAACTAGCGACTTGGTGGAAAAACCTTAAGTAAAAAAAAAAAAATTTTAAAAAATATTTCCCCCGCCCCAAGTCAAAAAACCAATATTCAGCAAAAGTAATTAGATTTTCTATCATAACTCAATAAGTTTCAATACTAAAAAAATTAAAAAATTATTATTTTGTAGAGAACTATATTATGCATATTAAATGTGTACAATTTTATTTTTTTTTTAATCGCCAAAATTAAAATTTAAAATTTAAAAACATTTTTTTTTTTAACTTTGATTTCATTTTTAAAGAAAATAATAAAGTTTTTTTGAAAAATTATTTTTTCTACGCTCTAGACTAGTTTATTTCACACCAAAATCAGATTTGAAAAAAAAAAATATATATATATATATAAAACAATCATAAACAAAAAAAAACAAAAAACCCGGATTATAAAAAATTGTAAATAATTATTTCTCAGAATTACAAAATAGTAGTTTATAATAATATAGCTACTTGTTTTTTTTTTTTGACGACTGATTTATTGATTGATGGTTGGGGAAGGGGCTCATTGTGTTTGCATACATATCACAGGAATATGTTTAGCCAGTATTTTCAGTATATTAATTTTCACTATGAACAAGATGCGTGCAAAAACTCGATTAAGTTTTAATCGAATTCCCTATAGTCCACAACAACAAACTAGAAATGTATTTCCCGCATATAAAGATATGCTTTGCTATTTTTTGTTTCTCCAAAGTGTTGATAGAGTAACAAAAATATTGTTTTTCATAATCCGGGTTTTTTTTTGTTTATAGTTTTATACATATATATATATTTGTCAAGTCTGATTTTGATGTGAAATAAACTAGTCTAGAGCGTAGAGAAACTAATTTTCAAAAAAATCTAATTATTCTCTTTAAAAATTAAATCAAAGTTAAAAAAAAAATGTTTTAAAATTTTATTTTTGGCGATTAAAAAAAAATAAAATTGTACACGTTTAATATGCATAATATAGTTCTCTACAAAATAATAGTTTTTTAATTTTTTTAGTATTAAAACTTTTTGAGTTATGATAGAAAATCTAAATACTTTTGCTGAATATTGGTTTTTTGACTTGGGGCAGGGGAAATATTTAAAAAAAAAATTTTTTTTTTTACTTTAGGTTTATATACACCAAGACGCTAGTTTTGTAAGGTATTAGGAAAACAATTTCAAAAATTGCCTTTTTTCACTACACCTTAATACACAATGTGTAACTACTTATCTAAATTCTAATATAATACAAAAAATGAAATATTTAATTAGTTACAACATACTTTTAATTTAATTTATGTATATATATATAAAATTAAAAAACAAAAACAAATAAACCACTATGAGAAATATACATTGTACATAAAGAATATGTTATATATAATAATGAGTTTTAATTATAGATAATATTACTATCAGTATTGTATTGCATATTTTTATGTAATATGAATTATCTATAATAATAAAAAATAAAAAATATTTAATACAATATGTTTTTACGATATTAATATAAATAAATTCTTCAACACAGTATATATTATTATATACAGTTTTGGATGCAAAGTAAAGCTATTGTTTAAACAAAATAAAATAAATTTCAATGACAGTTTTTTTTTAATACAAAGGAATAACAGAATAATTATAGTATTTACTATAGAAAAATTACACAAATGTGAAGTTTGATAATATTATACACGAGATGTGTACATTTTTAAGGTTCAGCATCAGCTATCCATTTAGTTTTCGTCTCGGGTACATATTGTACATTAACATAATCGTGATTATCTTTATGTTCACCAGCAATCGATACTAGTCCCAAACTATCTGTAGGATGATAAAGAGCGGATGCTGATTCAATATCAATAACAACATTAGTCGAAGATGGCTTGAACATATCACCGTCCGTATTGGTAGGCGTAACAAAATTACTTTCTTTACCCACAACTAGATCTGATATGTTGCTGACATTAAAACCGCCAATGTGTATGTATTCTCGATCTGATTCATCTTTAATCACTTGTGTAAGCATGTAATCCTTCTCGTCATTTGTGTCAAGTTCAAGTTCTTCCAAAGAATCATCATTTGTTAAGTTATTTAATGGGAATGCGACTTCCGCTATTGGCACAGTAGCACAATGGGCAGCAACGTTTTCAGATTTTTCCACAAGCTTCTTAAATTTATCAACAGCTTCTGGCACAATTAATGAATTGGTTCTATTGGAACTATGTTTCTAAATACAAAAATAAAATGGTTTTTAACAATACATATATTTTTTGAAAATTATAAATGCTTACTTTATCTGGATAATGTGTAATACATAACATTCCATTACCAAGGGGATCTTTAAATACGTTTCCTTTAATGTGAGCTGCACAAAACGACTCTACACAAAACTTACATTTGGCTACTACTTTTCGTTTTTTACAAATAGAACAGTAATGCGATGGGCAGATAAAACCAGCTAAAACAAAATATATAAATTTTAAATTATTTTACTAAACAACAGTAATGTACGACTATTACTGAACTTACACTTTGCTATTCTAGATTTATTCATACAGCTAAGATGAAAGACTCTTGGACATTTTTTATTTTTACAAATCAATTCTGTATGTCCCTTTCCGCAAACCAAACAGGTATTGTTTTTGAAATAATTTGTTGACAATAAATTACGTTTATTCGTTTGGTCCTTTTTGATTGACTTTTTTTTATGTGAAATTTCTTTATGCTTAATGATTTTACTACTGTCAACAATTGGAGTAATTACTACATTCTTTTTTTTTCTTTTGGTAATTGTTTCCAATATAATTTTTTTCTTTTTCATATTACCATCGTCTGATTTTTTCTGAAATTGATAAATTGTATTATTTTATATAAAATCATAATATTAATTGATATAAATTTGTAGTTTACTAATAAATAGTATGTATTATGTTTTTAATTATAGGCAATATTGAATATTTATTCAGGGAGCTATTTCCAACACATTTTAGTTATACTCAAAAAGTAAATAAATATTTCAGTAAATGTATATTTAAAGATATCACTCAATTTTACTGGATGTGATTTAGTATACATCATCACAAAACGTAAATAAATTTAAATAATTATTTTCAATCACACAAGACTAGCAAAAATTCAATAGCATTTAGAGAATATTTTTGGTTTGTTTTATCTTTTATTCCAGATGTGTTTTTATTTACATACTTTAGATAAAACCAAATGTCTGCTTTTCGCCAATCTGGTCAAACTATGTCTAGACGACTCAGCTTTCGTTTCAGTAAGTTCCGTAGAATCAAATACATCCAAGACCTAAGAAAAAATGTATATATAAATATAAAATTAAAAATTTGTGATAATTATTATTTATTGTCACTAGTTGGAATCTTAGTAATAATTAACAAGTCTTTGAAAGAGTATATCGTCAGCCTATTAAGCAAAGGACGTATCTCCAAAAAAAACAATTTTCGGTATATTACACTATTTTAAAGAAAAAGAAAACTGTGCGCTGGCTGGTATGATTACAATAATGTTATATTATAATATTATAAATAATGATTATATTTCAGTGTTTTTTTCCATGAAATGTGTGATTAACAGTAAGCGATTGTTATTACAATAAATAAAATAAATTAAACGTTAATTCCTTTTAGTATGAAATTTGGTATTTTGGAGTTATGCACATTGCTAAATAGGCTGGCGATATTTAAGTTAATACAGTACAAAGGTACTATCATTACACAATAATCTCAATATAAGTTTTTATTCTTATAAGATTTAAAAATTTAATTATACTTCATTCGACTTTTGTGGAGATTTTTTAGACTTGAGTGGTTTTCTCGTTTTTCTTGTTTTCGCCATAACTCCATTATTTTGTTGGTTCGCACAATGTTCCTATAAGCAGAATTCCAAACCAGTAATGAATATAAAATGTTTTTAATTTTTTAATAAATTATAATAAAATGTACAATAGAGACTGTTTTTTCCTGAATACATTTCTCCTCGTCTAGTAATGATTCTTTAAATTCACTTTTATTTTCAGACTGTAATAAATCAACATTTCTAATATCATTTACTTCTCAATTATAGTTTAGAATAGTTTTTAGAATTGTAATTTTATTTTTATGCTTGGATCACCCATAATAACTTTTTACTTTTGCACCAAATTATTTTTTTTATTTAAAATTTATTTTTATTTTCTTAATTGAAATGTATTATTTTTAAAATACATATTTATTATTATACTATTTTATAATTCCAATTTATTCAGTTTAAATAAATAATAAAATATTTAAAACCCCCTTGTCTAAAAAAAAATAATACACTAGAGTGTACACAACAGACCGAGAGATCCTCAGTCAAAAACAAAAAATAATTCACACTGCATTAATAATAGTGATACAACTCAAAAATCTCTATTTTGAGTAATCAGCATTTAAAGTTTTAAATGAATCCTATAAATTGAATTTATGTTTTTGTCTGTGTTCGAAAATAGTAAAAACCTCAATTAAGAATAATAACATATTGGAGGTTTTAGACCAGTTTAAGTAAAGTTACAAAATTGTTCACAGTTACTAAAATAAAGAGTATACTATTATCAACTATAATCAATTAAAATCTGAAAATGGAAATATTTGAGTTATGTCACTATTTTTAAAGCAGGGAGATATTATACTTTTACTATGTGTTTTCTTTGACATTGAGCGGATGGATTATTTCTTAAGCTTCTTCTGGTTACGATACAGTTGCTGGATCCTGAAGAGATATCGGTCTAAACAAAAAAATATCCCATTACAATAAAATGCAGTTATAAAAATAATTTTGTGGCGTAATGGCAAAAATGTGATATTTATAAATCATGTTTTGTCATAACACTGCAAAAATACTGGTAATATAGTTAATACTAAATAGTTAAGTCATAAAAATAAAGATTAAAAAAACTGTTAAACCATTGTAATCTTAAAACATTGTAATTATTTAATTTTGTTTTCAATTATTTTTACTATTTATTATAAGTTTTTAAACTAAAATAGTAAAGAATGCACAAATATTTCCTCAAATAACTATATTTGTTTTAAACTTCTCGATTTATAATAATTTTATAAAATGCAAACCCGCAGATTAATAGTATTGTGAAATTTCATTAATAGTACCATATGGTGTTTGCCGCTTGGAATAAACTTTTTTCTTAATAATTATTATTAAAATTAAAACATCAAATAATGGCATTACTGATAAGTGATAACGTATGATTTTCGTATATTATTATCAGGCTGTGAGTTGCGAAATATTTTTTATGTTACTTTCACTTTTAAACTTTTACTTTTGTTTAACTACATCAGCATCGTTGAACTAATCAAAAATTACCATCGCTGGCCAATTATACATAAATAATTTTCAATGTAAACTAAAAAACCACCATGTAAAAAATTAGTTAATTTTATTAACAACGTTTAAAAAGCTCAAAATGCATAATGAAACACCTCCAAAAAACGTGACACATGCAACAGTGTTAATGGTCTTTAAAAGCATATTATAAGAAGATGTTATACTATTTGCCCTCCACCTTATTTTGAAGGAAATGTTTTAAAAAAATACAGCACTTACCCTTTTCATCTGTCCAACAAAATAATGACCGAAATTGATTTTTATATGAATAATTAATTAAGTATATTTAAAGCTTACATTAATTCGTCAACCTATTAATAATATTAACCTAATAATATTGTGTTTAACGAAGTCAAACGCGCAAGGTTTATGATAACTTAGGGATTCCAATTCAAACGTTAATAACATTGGTTTAACAATATTTTATTAAAACTTGTAGATAACAATTTGCACGAACAAATTAATAATACCTACAATTTATCGTTTGAAACAAAAAATTAAGCGATTAAGAAAGTAACACGTATTCATTACTATACTTATTGTCAACAACAATGTATACACCTTAAATATATATGGTCTAAAGTGATATTTTAAATCGATGAAAAATATTTTTTTTAAATTATGTAGTAAAATATTAAGATCGAAGTTTTATTCTAACGAAACATGTTACCCCCCGGCGCAAAGGAAAGACAAAACAAATATAATAAAGCGTTATGTATATTTTACACACTTGCGCTAAAGTTTAAAATAAATACAATTGATAAAAAGGAAGACAACAATAAGTATAAGTGTACTGTTATATTAATGCATGTAAATATTAAAAAAATACGACCTAACTAATAACAAATACGAGGTGAATAACTGTTTTACAGGTATAATATTATTTTAGTCCAATACTAAAATTATTATACGCTGAGTAAGTAGTAGGGAGAAACAGGTAATTGCACAATCAGGCACACGTCGCAATCGCTATACCTGACTTAAGGACAAACATTACGGCCAGAGGTCTTGAGTAAAGCAACAGCAATTCAAATAATAAATAAATATATACTTAACCAGATCTCAAGCCATAAAAACGTAAAAAACGAATTTTAAGAAGAATAAAAACAAAAAGTACGATTAGGAAAATGGATAGCCTAGTTTTCCCCCTTCGACGTGTAGCTAAGAAGTTTAGTGAAAAAAGTTACTAGTTGGGAGGCCTGCGGTTTAAAAAAAGTTATTTGTTGCCTTATCAACGGTTTCATCCATATTTACATAATAGTCAATCATATTTATAAGTAATAAAAAAAACTTAATAGCGAAAAATTATCAAAATGTTATAAATTGCTTTAATTTAAACTCGAAAAATAAATTATACCTACCTAACTTGAGTTACATTTGTAAATATCATACTTGTTTTAGCAGTTTTATTACCTACACACACACGCATATATATATATATATATATATTGTTTTTTATTTTGACAAAATATGTCCAAAGAATTTCAAATTAATGTTTTTTTAATAGAATAACCAAATAAAAAATTGCCAAGTTTGTTTTTAAGTAAAAATGTTCATAATAGTTAATAATAGATTATAGATCAGTATATCAAATTTGTAAATATTTAGCTTGATAAGCTACATATATCAATATAAATGCTTAACAGTGGCATTTTAAACCCTTTTTAGCTTTGTTGCCGATCTTAGAAGCTTTTGACTTTTATTCTAATTTGACTATTTTGAGCTTTTTTAAATCACCCAAAAGCATTTTTATTTAAACGATTAAAATTCTTTTTAAATACATATTAAAGAGAGTACACATAATACATCCAGAGTAAGGATATAATATATTATGTTAGTTAAAAGAATAATATTAATATAATACATTTATTAAATCAATTTAATGTATTAAACTTAGTATGAAAGTTAAAATGGTATTTTACTTCAATAAGATGCACATTAATTAGTTAAAAAGTAAATGTAGTTATTTTACTCCAAAAATACCTAATTTTAGATAATTAAACATTTGCCTGCTTCTAAATAGGACGTTTTACCCTTTCTTTATTTTGTAGTTAAGTATAGAAACTGATATATAATTGAGAATTATAAGGGTTCAAAACAGAACATTATACCCTCAATGTTTTAGTGTAAATACCTGACTTTAAAGTATGCCTTTAACTTGGAAAATAGTGGTTTTAGAACAAAAGACCTTGATAAAAATGAAAGAAAATCATTTCCCAGAGAAAAGTTCTAAATAATTGTTTAAAAAAATTAAAACATACGTTTATTGTATTAAGCTATATAATGAACAAATTTAAAAGAAGTATGTTCATTTTATCCAAAATGTTTTTTTTATATTTTTATTACAAGTGTTTTTAGTTTTTACGCTTGAAAATTACTATCCTCTTAACTGACCTTTAGATACAATACTGGTGTGTGGTGTACGATAGATGTGTATACTTTGTTTCTAATTAATAAAGTAATAAATTTAAAAAATTACGTAAGTACTTAATTATTAATACCAATTCCCACACAATGGCTTCATTATAATTTACGAGTGCATAATTTAATATATATAATCTCACAAGCAGAATTAAAATATAATAGAATCCCTATTAATTAAGGATTTATATCAACAATATGTTAAACTGTAAGCACCAAACAGAAACCAAATATAAACAATTGGTATTTCAAAAACAATTTTAGATTTAGAATTAATTTGTAACTTAAAGCATATATGAGTTGTGCAACCATATTAAATAAGCATGTGAATTTCTTATGTGGTATTGGTGGGTAATTAATATTTGGTATTTATTTATATATATATATATTAAAAAAAAAAAAACGTTTAACTTTGAAAAACTGTATAATTTGTATCAATTAATACTATGGGAAATATAAAAAGAAACATCTAAAATACATAATACATGATATACATTTATAATAAAATGGTATGCAAAATGAAGCATATTTTGATTGACAACTACACTGTACACAAATCATATTTGATACAGCTTGACAATTTTTTTTTTTTTAATAAAATGTCACTCAAATTATGTAAACCACTTTTTGTTTTTCAAAGTGTTAAAAAAAATTAATTTTGCAAACTATACTTAGTTTTTTTGGGCTAAATAACTATTTTAAGGTAAAAGTGGTTTTTAGTGCACTAACTTTATAACAATTACATATGACAAATTACAGGGCTGGAATATGTGACCATAAAAAGCCATCTATTTATCATTAAATTATAAACATTAAAATTACGAAAAAATTAACAATGTTTATTACTTTGTTACTATACGATTTAACAATATTATTATGTATTACAAGAAATAATATTTAATAAAAACATTTTAAAACTATTATGCAGAAATTGACTTTTCCTTAAAAAAACTAATAATAAATAAATATATATATTTCTTTTTCAACTAAAGATAATTAATAAAATAAAATCTATAAAGACTAACATTTTTAAGGATAGTTCAGTACAGCTTTTAATTTAAAATAATGATAATATTGTTTTGAATAATAATTAACTTAACTTGAGAAATTTAAGTTTCGTAAAAACAAGTGAATAAATTCCAGCCTTATAACTTACCAAATGATTTAGATATTAATTGTTAAAATATAAACAACATTTTTTTTTTTTATAATTGTAAACAAATAGGTTTTATTAATTTTACTGTTTGTTAGTATAACGGTGGTGCAGTGGCTGTACCACAATTAAATACTAAATAATAAACAAGTTATAATAAAAAATGTACAAGTAAAATTATTTAGTTTACAGATTTTCATTTCTTTTTACATACTTTGGTTATATTGGTACTCCCAGTAGACTTTCTCCATTGTATTTTAGTAACACTTGTATCTGAATTTTCATTCTAAAATCAATTAAATAGATAGATAAATGTTATTAAAATAAAAACATAGCTTACCAGGTTAATTCAACCTACGTGGTGGGTAAGACATTAAACACAATACTGTAAGTATTCCCCCCCCCCCCCCACACACACACAGAAGTTCTATTTATTTTTGGGGAAGAGAAAGGCTTTTTATATGAAAATATACCAATTCATCGGTATAAGCGACACTAGACGTGATCATGGATAACTTGTAGGATGAAGATACAAATTAAAAAACATTGACTTACTTTCGAAGTAAATGAATGTTTGCCACTTGATGGTTTGATTTTTGATTTTATAGAATCATCAGACTTCTCGATATCAGAAGATTCAGCCTATTAATAATATAAAAAATAAATTTATAGTTAAAAATAGTTTGGAGTCAAATGTTTAAATAAAATAAAAAACATTTTCATTAACAATAATCACTAAAAACTAGAGCCGACGATTCTACACAAGTATTTTAAATACATGTGTAGGACAAGTTTGTGTAATTAATACAAGTGTAGGACCCGAGATTCTACTAACTTGACCCAATGGCTATAATACTTTATCTTAGTGACAACCATTAATTAAAGAATAGTATCACGTAAAATTAGAGGTCTTATTAAAACTTATAGTTGAAAGAATACGTGTAGTTGCAGGTACACGTGTACTTATAACTACACAAACTTCTACACGTCAATTTGAATTACACGTGTTACACGTGTATTTACTTACACGTGTAATCGGTATCTCTACTAAAAACAGACTGATACATATAAGGGCTTAAAATAAATAATAACTACTAAAAAATACATAAAATGTTTTTGTGATAAAAATACTGTTAATAGTTGAGATAGAATTTTTCTAATTGTCACAACTCATATTCCCAAAAATAATGAACCAAAATGTACTACCAAAAATTGGTTTTTTGTATTTATTTGCTCCTTTTTAATAATGAACCTCTATCTGTTGTGAACGCTACAAAAAATAGAAATTAATTCCTCACATCATACAATATTTTGTCCCAAATATACCTCCCTATTTTAATAATTTATCATTTATTACAACATTTAGTATTAAGATTTTGAAAATGATGAAAAAAATGGTTCAAGTTGGACTACTCTACAAGGAACGAGGAGTGTTTTTCTCATAAGGCTGCTTTAAAAGTAAAATTTAAGGGGGATATTAATTCAAGAATTTCTTAAAGATATTACATTATATGACCTAATGTAAACTAGTTGGCAGTAAAAAAAAAAAAATATGTTGTACTTAAAATTCAAAAAACCAGAAAAAATAGAGGTTTTATTACCTTGTATTTTGGTGACTTTTGTTTCTTTGAAGATGCTTTGGACTTATCAGCATCATTAAACAAAGTTGTTTTTTTCTTTTCTTCTTCCTATATAAACAAAGTGTTTTAAATTATTAACAAAAACATTGATACTAAAATAATAAATATGATTAAAATACCTTATCTACTTTAACACCAATATATTTAGAACATCTTGTAGCTCCACATTGACATGGTTTTTTTTCTACTCCAGAACAACTCTGAAGGCGATAGTCAAATACTAATTCTGTACTGGCCGGTATATCTTGTAAAGCAAAAAGGCCAATTCTTGTGTCACCATTGACAGTCCATTTTTGAGTTACACAATTTGGTTCACAGGAATGGTTCATAAACCTATAAAAAAAAAAATTTTAAAAAATTAATTATAATGAAAATATGTTTGAAAAAAAAAACTTAATTACTAAGAAAACTTATAATTTTAATTGATTCTTTAAAGCACATTTGATTTTCTTATTATGTTCATTAACACCACGCGTCGTCATCCAAAACGTTATTATGACATTACAATTAAAATTTATTTCACTACGTGTTTTAATTTTGATGAGAACTCAACAAAATCTGTTTACCTCGACAGATTTCCTTTTGGTCCAGCATCAATCATTCTATTGTGGTCAATCGTTAAGAAATAATAATTTTGTTCATTTTGTTTTTGCATTTCGTAACATCTATTTTTGAACTCTTCTTCGTCAATAACTTCACCGACATACTCAATTACAAATGATCCTAAACATACAGAAGATAAATAACACATTTTTTATAAAAAAAACTTATTTTATATCGTTCTAACCTTCTTTAATATCCTCTAATGTTCTAAGACCCCAACCTCTATCATTCGTTAAAAACGGTTCCATCGATGGATATAACGTTTTTTCAAATCTTTGATTATTGCACTTGTCACCTGCAGGACATAATCGTGGTTGGCATTCGAACATAAGCATCCTATATCAAAAGATTTTCTAGTTTATGTATTACATTTGTTCAAAAATAATTTTAATATAATTACCTATTTAAACAATCAGAACCTGGACCACATGGATTTGGTTTTGTAGGATCACATTCACAAGAAGTCATTGTGATTAAATTTGATTCCATTTTTACATTACCCACAGGTTTATTAAACTTAATTTTTGTATACTTGGGTGGATTCTACAAATTAAATTTAGTTTTTATGTAATTATATTAAATAATGAATACATATTAATATAGTGTTATTTTAGACCATAGTAATTATTTTACAGGTCTCCCTTTAAGATTTTGGTCAGACCAATAATAACAATTTTTTTTTTGTAGATTCAAACCATTTAAAAAAACAACATACTTTTAAAGAATCATTTATTTCTTTGGCATCATATCTATCTTTATCCAAAATATAAGCATTGTGGGCTTGAGCTGCTTCTATAATTGCATCTTGAAACACTTGATTAATGTTTTTTGTTGTATTTTTAACTAAAATATTTTCATCGTCCTAAAAATAAGTAACACAAATAAGTTTTAGTATATTTAGAACTTCATAAAATATGCACTTACACCCTCGTGGAAATTAAAAACTCTTCCACGATTTAACCAATAATAATCATATGTGCCAAAAAATTGCAAAGCAAACTGTCCAATACTATGTGGAATGGCATTAACAGAATCAGGAATTTGATTTGGAAATACTATTTGAGCTGGCCACCATCTAAGAAAATTTAAATTATGCATGATTTATAAAATATTAAAATTTAATAGTATACATTTTTATAAAGGTTTTTAATACTAGCGAGTCTTACCTGTAAGTCGCAATCTTAGCCCAAACAATCTCACCATAAAGAGGATATCGGCCTGTTTGACATTCTTCACATGTAAATCCTCCTTCGACTTTTGAACGAGGTAGATTCAAACATTCAAGATGAAATGAAGATGGACATAAATCACAGCAAACCAATGAACCTCCTAATAATTAATAAAATACTATTTAAAAATAATCTATAACAATTAAATCATGTTTAAATTACTTAGTGTACAAATAAAACACCAATCCGAATTCATATGATAAACTTGTCCTTTTGCTGGTACAAAATGTCTGCTACATACAATATTACTATAAGTCAAAACTTGACTGCCAGCTGGTAAACAGTATTCACCTAAACATTATAAATTCTAATAATTAAAAACTTCAATAGAGTTATAATATTTTAAGTAATGCATACTCTTTTCTGAATACAAATCAACAATGTTACAGCGTAAACATTAATTAGTTATAAAATAACTTTTTTAATATAAAAACATATTAACCGTTATGTGTCTTTTTTAAAATAAAATATACTCTCTATTTTCACTTACTTCTATGGTATGCTGTTGGACATCTGATACATCGGATCAATTTTTCAGCAGGAAATTTCAGTTTACATTTACTCTTGGGATTGTCCGAGATACATAAATGACACACGTGAAGAGGACATACAATAGCTTGCTTACTGTTACTAAAACCTTGAATCCATTGACACTGTGGCCATTCATCCAAACAATTTTCATGATAAACTTTACCACAACTAGCTTAAATTTTAAACAAAAAATAAATATTGACTTATTTAAAAAAGAAACAGCATTAAAAATAATATTAACAGCACTAATTTAGGTTGTTTTTTGATCTCAGTTATAAAAATGAATTACAGCTTACCTAATTTACAAGTAAAAAACTTTTGTTCAGAATCTTTGTCAATATTTAGTCCACACGAAAAGCAATTAACTTTGTTAGCTTTACACAGATTGCACATATATTCTGAATCGATATGTTTGACTGGTTTAATGCCATTTATTGACATTTTTTTTGGCTTATTAAACATTTTTTCTATCTTTTCTTCAGAAGTTTTGAAAACTGTCTCTTCATATGCACTTTCTGAACTGTCTGGTTGTTGAATATTCACTTGTTCCACAATTTCAGTTAATTTATCAGATTTCGATTGGTCACTAGAGGAACTACCATCCTTAATACTTAAGCTCACTGTTTCTGATGTAGAGTCTATACAATTAGAATTATCATTAACATTATTTATATCATCATTAATTTCTTCAGCTAATTCTTGACCAATAGTTTCATTATTTAAAGTAGAATTTGTATATTTAGGTTTATTTTTTAATGACTTAGACCGTCGTCGTTTGGAACGCACTGAATACTTCGGTTTTTTAATTGCCTTTGTAGGCTGGTTTTGACAACTAGATTTCTCTCCACTTTTCGCAAAGCATTCCTTATGAAAGTAGTTTTGGCATGTACCGGTACAACGAATTGTGTTTTGATAATTTTCACATACTATACAGGCTTTTTTCAGTGTTTTTACAAATAACTCTCTATTTGTTTGATTAGCTAGGAACACTGAACTATAGTTGTCATTTCTTGATGATGTTTCACTTTCAGTCGTTTCAGGTTCTGAGCTACTTTCTTTTTCAATCAAATTCGATTTCCTAAATTAAAAATGTTTTGTTTAATATTAATAAAGTTGTATGTATTTGTTCAGTAATATTAGTTTTTTTTTAATGTGTATCTTAATACATAAGTACACATTTGTTATCTTATTGTTGGCAAAATCATTGAATTTATAATAAACAGATAAGCAGTGCTATACACAAAAATGGCAGCAGCCTGCTGCAGTCCGCTGGTAGCAATTATTGGTTACTGGTTTTCTCCAAAGCACCGCTTAACTGTATATTATAAAATAAATGGCATAGTAAATTAGTATAACACAAATTTAACATAGTTTATATAATAATTCAAAATTCATCATTTTCTTTGAATAATTCCTCTACTGCCTTTATTTGTTATAGAATCAAAACAATTGAGTACTTGTAGAAAGTATTTCTATAATAAATATCATTAACTCTGGTAAGCAATAAAAAGTGTTAAGAAATGACATCACTTATTTACAATTTTATTACTATGTATCACAAAATTAAATTATTGTAAATATTGATACAAAAAATCAATTTGTTTGCCATTACATTCCAATCAATTTTTTTAAGCTTGACACTGAATGTGAACAAGTTTACTTTTAATGAGTTTCAAACACTTTAGATATCATTTAATACTAATAAGATATTTGTTGCGTACTTTTGTGAAAATGGAGAAGATTTCATACTTTGATTAACTTCATTGGAACAATCATTATCATACAAATTTGTACTGAAAATTAATGTAAATTAAATTTTAATTTAAATAGTAAAACATTAATCAATTCCTTTATAATTTAATATCATATATTTTAATTAAAAATACATATACTTAATAAAACAAAAAGGGTTCCAAAAAATTGTTATAATTATGACCAAAACAGAAAATATTTTAATAACTTATACAACAGAGAATGAGTGACCGAGTGGGTAGAGGCAGCAGTATGAGTCACCATTCTTACTGTGTCAACAACTGTCAGTTTACGCAAATGAACTGAGTAAATTATTTAGGATTTAAACATTCAGTCTTTTACTCTTTTTTTATTCAGTTCTATATATAAACTCACAATATCCGTTTACACACTCTGAAAACTATGTGATTGAATATTTTTCAGGCACCACCTAAACTCGCACATCTAAAATGTTGAACTGTGCAATCATACAATTTTTCTTTACGCGTGCAGTTAGTTTATGCAAACCAAAGTACCTATAGTTTGTTTGCACCGTTTAACTAAATATGTTAAGTGTAAACCCACTTTTAAGAAAATTCCTCTTTAAATAAGGAATAAATAAACCTAAATAAGCTGAGTAAGCTCATCTAGATGGATTGTATAAAACATACCTTTTAGATTTAACATTTTTCTTAGCTGCAAAGGGAGATGTGGTTGTATTGCTATACTTTTCATTAACATCTTTAATATCTTCTAATAACCTATAAACAAAATAAATAGAATAATCCAAATGTATTACGAAACAAAAAAAACATTTTTATTAAATATTATTATACAGCTATATTATTAAATATTATTACTTTATTCGTTTTTTCAAGCTTTCAGGTACTTTTCTAGTACTTTTTGTTACAATAATATTGTCATCGTTTATGCCACTTCTGAAAAATAAACTATTCTAAGTAATGTAAATACTTAGAAATAAATGTACGTAGCTTATGTAACATAGTTTACAGATAATTCAAAATAAAAGACGTTATACCGTTTTAAACACCAAATAATACAAATCAATTACAGATTGCAAAAACCATTTACGCATATATTGCGGCTTCCTAAGAACAACAATTTAAGTGCAAATTTTTTGAAAATGGGGTTTTTGTGAATTTGGAATTGGAAACAATGAATTTATAAAGTTGATAAATAAGATTGTGAAGAATTATTAAATTAAATTGACAGAATTATCAGGTTTTTTTTTGTATATATACAATTGTTAAGGAAGATATTTTTTTAATTCACTCTCTCTTCAATTCAATTTTATGCAGTTAGGTCATTGTTCATGGGAATACAAAATCACTTTAAACTATAAAAACCCAAAATAACAAAAAAATAAAATACTTACATAGAAGTATTATCAGAGTTATCCTTTTTGTCTACATCAGGATCTGAATCGGACAAAGACTTTTCGTTTATTAAATGTTTTGGCGGATATGTTTTCTTAGGAATTCCGTTCATAAATACTGTGTCTATTTTTTCATTATACTCATAACTCATAGACAAATTGGAGATAGTGCTATCAACATCGTCAGATCTCATGTATATAGGAATATCGATTGATTTTGATGCATTGGTATGATTAGTGGTCAAATTTTCAGTCTTAATAATTTTTTTTATACTTTCGTGGTCCACAACTATTGTTTGAGATCTTTTTCTTGAATAAGTCCGTATTTTACCCTAAAAACAAATAAAAATTTTGTTTTAAATTATAAGCAAGCTACATAAATATAGTCACTCTAGATAACTGTGTGCAACAGCACAGTATGTAAAATTTAGTGTGCCAGCGTACCTAAAAAAAAGTAACAATACAAGTTTATGATTAAATAGATACTTACTGCTACGGATGGTTCAGCTGTTTTCTCTGGGGAACTTTTATTTGTAGAGCCATCACTAGGTGTTTCGTTAAATGTCTTAAAAAACTCCACCATTCTAGTATCACTAAAATGTGAAAACGCTATTAGATTTATTTTATAATTTTTATATTAAAACAATATAATCGGAGGTTAAACATACATAGATAGACAACGGCATACATGGTTTTAGCAGTCAGATTTTTAAGGCAAACTTATATCATCCAAGTATTTGTTACATCCATTTTGTTATTAAAATGGTTGTTTGTTTTATTTTTTATAGCTGTATGACTATCTATGTATATTTAATCAAATATTTAAGTTTTTATTTAAATTTGTTTTCTTCTTACACGTTAAGGGTCATGAGAAAATCAGCTTCTTTAACCGCCGAATTCCATGTTTCCATTACTTTTTTGTTATATTTTATTGACGCCTATAAATCACATTTTTGTTTTTTTTATATATTAGGTATTTAATTTATTAAAATGTATTTATTATTTATTACATATAAATCTAATAATTTTTGTACTAGGTTGTTACTTTAATTTTTTTTTAATTTATTATTTACATACATTAAGTTGTCGCTCGTTACTAAAATAATACATTTCATTTGCCTAAGTAATATGTTTTGCTATGCCATAAAACTAGTATATTTTTACTGTTATAACAAAACCTAATACGCTATTATACTGCTGCCCACAAGTGAAGAAACCCGCTCAGAAACTAAAACACATTATTCTCATATGTGTTTACTCAACCATGGGAAGGCGCTTAGATTTTTGCGCGGGTCCCTTCTCTCAAGGACAGAGAAGATTTTTTTTGGGAAAAAAAAGTATAATAGCATTTGTAATGAACAAAAAATGTTAAGTTTCACTTTTTACCATAAAAGTATTAGGTTTTGGCAACATGGGTTTTAAATCTGTGAAAAGTATTCATTTTTTCTGGGAAATACAAACCTTATTAGTTTTTGTTATTATAAAAGGAATTATACTACTCTTCATGGCATTAAACAAAATATACTACTTTTTGTAAGGGAAATGAAACTTACTCATTTTCGTAACGGGTGTTAATACTTACTGTACAAGACGGATGTTTTGTTAAAAGTGCATCTTTTCCGAAATATTTTTCTATCGTTCTAACCCAGCTTCTTCTACCGTGGTCATTGCAAAATCGCACATGAATACAAACACTTTTTTTGAATCCTGAAACAACATACATTACACACGTCATTATTACTTCTTCCATAAAATTTAATCAATATAATTTGATATAAAATTAAAATAACCGCTAGATTAAAAAAAATCATCAAATCATTTTAGCCTTCTTCGCCTCCGCATTGAAGCTAAAACAGTTTTATAAATATAAAAAAAAGAACTATTTATTATTAACAAATGTATACAATATTATATTCTGTATGAAATTCTTTCCGTTTTATATCCAACTAAAATATAAAACAGTTAGTAACTTACCAGTACATTCTTTGTAATGTATTTTGGAACTCGGATCAACACAAATTACACTTGGCCAAAAAGGATATCTACCAATTTTGGCCCAAACAATATCACCAATTTTGTAACCTTCCGTGTCATTTGTTTGTTCACTAATGTACAAAGGTTCCATTGTAACATCATCCACTGTGTTATTTAAAGTTTCGATCTCAGCAACCAAAAAAGAATTATTTTCACATGATTTCTGATGTGGTGAAACTCTGTCAAGTGTCGGTCTATCGTCATAACCATTCAATTCTGGGTCTGGATGAACTTCATCAATATGAGCTAGTTCGGTAGACACATCATCCTGACTGTCTAAATCTGCCATTTTCATTTGAGCCCTTATCTGCAATATAACACAAATTAATGATGAACACACATTTATAATGCATATTACAGATAAATTAATTGTATTTGTTCAACAGTATAAGGCAAGTTTGGTTCGTTTAGTTTCAATTTTGACTAAAATTTAATTTAATTCTGAGTGCAAAATATACTTGGGGATGATTAGTACATTTGCCTGTACTAATCATAAAAATGTTTTTCACTGTTTTTTATATTATTAACTGCTTTAAATATAATATATTAGTAGTTATTTCACGTCGGGTATAGGACCGTATGTTAAATATACAGTTACAACTTTTTATACAAAACTTACACTATAATAACTTATTAAGCTTTAAGAAATCATTGTTCAACTGTACATATTTATTTTACAATATATAATATATAAAATAACCGATTTTACTGTTTAAAAAAAACTACAGAAAACAGATATCACAATTATTGCTTGCGTAACAAAAATGTACATTGATTTGTCAACTTCCAACAGATATACACATTCGTAGGCATGTGTACTAAATTTTAATTGTAATTAGTAAAATCTCAAATCTATGTAATAAATTAGCGCTCATGTTAACATGTCCTAACACCGAATCGAATTCTCATCAGTCATCTGCAGTCATCACCCAAACACAAATAATTAACAAATTGATACAGGATACTCAATAATTAACGCATGCGTATAGATGTCCAAAAGGTACAATCCGACAACCGTTTAGAATAAAGGGGCGGTGGCCTTATGGTTCATTGTTGCCAAACAAGAATGACTCACTTTTAGAATAATAGATGGCGCATACAAATTGTAAGCATTCATAAACTAATGAATATTATATTATTGATTTTACAGTTGTGTCTGCCACCAAGTACACTATACAGTATAACCAAGTATTATTATGAGTTATTATGACTTATGACCAAATAAGTATACAGCCAGGGACAGAAACCGTTACGTTTTTATCCGTTTTGTGCTTTAAATATTTTAAAATTAATGTTTCGGTTAATACCCCTTCGTACCTGTTTAGATTTGTACATTTTGAACAAAAAAATGTATTGACACTACTGAGTTATAATTAAAATTAAAATTGTTGGTTTGGAAAAAATTGTATAAATATGTAGTGATTATGATAAGGTTGAAATGTTTATTATCTGTATGCATTAAAGTATCACATGGTTATTAACTTAATATACGCGTACAGCCTACAGGGTGGATCTAAAAATTACAAGTAAAAGGGGTCAAGATTTAACCGAGATAAGAAAAAAATGTTTTTTTGGAAATCTAATAAGATTTTGATCTAAATTTGTATTAAAAGAAACTAAATACCTAACGATAAAAATGTGTTTATTTTACTATTTTTCTTAACATAGAAGTATTGAACAATTATATTTGAACCCACGACTGTTGATAAAAGATATTAATGACGGTTAATAATAGGCTTTTTATTAAAAATACAACAAAAGGCAAGGGGGGAAATTAGATTAAATGAAAAATCGTATTTTCTTTAAAATAATTGTAATTAAATAATACCATAGATCAAGTTAGCTATTACAAAAAAGACGGGTAGACTGTCTCTTAGATAATATTCGCCAACTGTGCAAGTACGTTAATATTGTTTCTAACTAAGTCTATTGTTCTCGTAGCCTCTGTGATATCGAACTTGTTGTCTTGGGTAGCCAGGGCTATGCCGTCGGCGTGAATACATTTTAAATCGTTTAAATACAAATTCACCTACGGCTTACAAATCTGGGGAGTTGCAAAAAATCAAATTTAAACGAAATTCAAACTGATCAAAATAAAACTCTCCGTCTCATTACTAACGCTCCTTTCTATATAACCAACAAAACCTTACATAACGATCTTCACATTAAAACAATACCTGAATACGCTACTAAATCATATTCCAGATACCATAATTCTCTTTCCAACCACCCCAACATTCTAGCTAAGAACCTAGCGTTACCTAGTATGCCATAGGAAACCTCATTAAAAGACTAAAACGTAAGTGGTGCCGAGACTTAGTATAACAGTAACCAAACGGAAAAAACAGTATAAAATTCCCGTGAAGTGTCGTTGAGGGGCGGCTTCTTACTCAAGCCTAACATGTTACTATAATCAAAATCAGCATATATACTCATTATACCTGTAATTGTATAGATTGTATATACCAAAAAAAAATACAATTTCCCTCGGACAATTAAAAAATATCTTGTACAATGTGAGACGTGAAAAAAGTTGCTGTAATTTTGTAGAAGGCTTGGTCGCCACGCGGTACTGTAGGCAGCAGATAAATCGACTATAACAGTACAGCTGTTGTCTTTTGTTTTTTTAGTAACCCATTTTCTACAAAAGAGGTTAAGACTGCTATTTGGTACTTTAAACTTTTGTTTGGTCTAAATCCAGCCCGTTCAATGGGAATCGTTTGCTCGATAGTTGATTTAATTCTATTATATATCAACCTTTCCATTAGTTTATAGCTAACGCTCAGGAGTTCTATGGATCGATAGCTCTGAGGGAGTTCCTTGTGTTTTCCTGGTTTGTAAATTGCTACCATTATTGTGTTTTTAAAGATTGGAGGGGGTTTTCATTATTCTAGTATGTTGTTAAAGAAAACTGTTAACCGTGCTCTAAGCCGTGAGTTGTAACCCAGTGTTTGAAAAACTCGGGGAAAATCCCGGCTTTACGGTCTTAAATTTTATTGTAGCTAAATTAATCTCTACTATTATAAAATGGACAGATATCGTACTTCTTTCCTACGATTATTTTTAAGTTTTTTAAAATAATGATATTTGGAAACAGAAAAAAAATATCATAAGTACGGTAAATGGAATTTAATAAAGACTTGAGAAAAAAAAAGTCCTGCAATTCAGCGAAATCTAATATTATTTAAGACGAGCATAATGTATCCTCAATTGCGGGATAAGAAGTTAATATGACCCGTGAATCGTGATCATTTTGAGACAGAAATATTGGTTAGTGGTAATCTTTCCCAAATTAGAAAAAGATGCAGATCTGTAAATAAAAGTGAAAACCACTAAACTCTAATTTAGACCATATAATTTGGATTTATATCGACAATAAGGAAGAAGAGTGTGAGTCCCATCAGGTACTTGCTATTGATCTGAAGAAATTTAACCAGAAAATGAAGTAAAAGATTTTCTATGAGGGTTCCAAAGAAGTTTAGAATCAAAAGTGATACATTCGTTGCCAGATAACTTGGCACAGCTGTGGCGGTGCGAAAACGCAGTCAGTGGTCCTCATTATTTTATAAAATTTATAATAATAATAATAATAATAATAGTAATAACAACGACAATAATAAAGAACTGTCGCGCAATGGCGTAATTTGGTCATGTTTGTGGGGGGGGGGGAATAAAAATAAAATTGCATACATTTTACTCATCACCCCTCCCTCCCCCAATTTTTATTTTTTGAATGTATACCAATGTGATATATAACGTCAAGGGGGGGATATGGCACCCAAATCCCCCCCCCCGTAATTACGCCACTGCTGTCGCGGCCGAACTATGCTCGTCCTAGCCGACGGATGGTCGAGGAAAAATACTTGTTTGGAATACACTGCTGATAAACGCCGCTGTGGCAACTTATCTGGCAACGTCTGTACCAATATAGGTGAATCGTGTTTATAGTTTTTTTTTTTATAAAAACAAGTAAATACAATTTTTTTGAAAAATTACTAAAATTTTTCCATTTATCACGATTAAAAATCCTTTTGGGTACGATTTCTAATTTATAGATGGCTGATCTCTAGATTTAATATATACACTAAGAAATCCGTCTAGCGATTTAAACACAATAATAATAAAAATACCAACATGTCATTCTAAAACCAATACATTTTTAAGTCTACATAAAAGCTAAAAGTAACTCAGTTAAAAACACTGGTTGTCTTACATTACGAAAGTGCTTAAACATAAGTCAATTAAGTAGATACATTATAGTTTGCAGCTCTTACAGTGTAGTTACGTCTCGAAACCAGAGTTCCATATATATTTTTGATATATTGTAGTCAAAGGTGTGACTATGGGATATATTCAGACCGAAAATAACTTGTACGACAAATACAAGAGCTAAGAAAAGTGGTAGCATATTGAAAAATAATAAAATGATGTGTTTTTGTATAGCGTTTGTTGACGAGATTAGGTATGGGGTAGTCGAAGGGACCGGGCGGAAGACCCATAAGTGGCGTTAAGTTTGTAGTCGTCCGTATTGGTTGGATCGCGGTCGGTCGGTTCGACTGAAGCCCCACAATCGATTCAAAGAGCCTGTGTTGGCTTTTTATTAAGTTCGCCCTACTTGTTTACCCTCCCTCAGTACTCCCCAGCCCCTGCCGGTATGAATTTCCCTGTCGTGACTGGCCAACCCGAACACCCACCCTTACTCGTTGAATAAAAGCTCTCCCGTTACACTCACCGAATGCGGTATGTATATTTAGAAACCACGTCATCCGTCACAACAGCTCAAAAGTGTGTGGTAGTGTGTGTATTTATAGGTAAATAACTATACAAAGTGATCACCAACCACGAGCCAGCAAATAACAAATATATTCGAGTATATTGAATATTCCTTTTCAGTCCCCTTATCATTTGCACGGGACACATATTTTTTTTTTTTTTTTATTGGAAAATGAGGTCCATCCAGTGGCCGCACAAAGAAAGTGGGGAAGTGGTCCTAGGGTCAATTTAGCAAGGCTTACCTTTCATGACCTAGTCACATGATCACAAAATTTAACTTTTTTCTAACTTGCATATAAATATAACGCACACTATAACTTTCCGAACAATAGTCAAATTAGTTTTAAATTTGATCGATTTACTCTTTAGCTGTTGGACTATAGTCACTACTTATTTGTAGTGTTAGGTACTGGAATATTAATTATAATGACTATACTATGATTACAATTAACCACTAGAAATTTTGGTATGATTTCGTTGATCTTTAACATTTCTTTAAGAAATCTTTTTTTTTAGAATTATGTAAGATGAAAATAACAAATGTCATGATATAAAATGCTGTTATAAAAATGCATTATTTTACATTTTTATCAGACAAAAATAGACATCGTTAACGCGTTTAAAATGATTAAAATAATTAATTAATGATTATTTATTTATTTAATTTTGAGGGATAACTTTTGGCTTATGGTTAGTTTATAATTGACCATATTATTATAATATACAATTACACAAAAATTGTACCAATATAACAATAAGAACATAGCATACACGTTAGAGTATCTTCTTTATTGCATATACCTTAAAAGTATCCGTTGTTTTAATACTTTTTTATGATTTCCTCTATTTTGGCGAAAAGATACAATACCTAACCGGATATAAATACATTTTAACAATGGTAGTAGAATTATTTATACGAACGATATGAACCAAAATTTCTATACTTGAACTTCTATATGTATACCTCATATTGATGTCTTCTACTGTTACGACATGAGGGCGGTAAACAATAACGATGTAATAACCCTGGCTTAAATTATATAAAGCTAATAAATGTGCATAATTTTTTATCACTCGAAAATAATAGCAGCATAAGGACAAAGAATAAATCTACTACCATTATAATATATTAAATGCATTCTCCTTATGCTGTCATTAAAAAATGTTAGTTTGTAATAAGAC